TCGGTTCAGCCGTTTTGACGTTTATTGGATACAAACAAACAGACAGACAAACAAACAGACAGACAAGCCAAATTTATATATAGATATATATGAAACAGGGAGAATGTATAATTACCCGCCAATGATAAGAATTTTGTCTCACTAGGAAGAATATAGTTATTTACAACTACATTTCAGGGAAGTTCAGGGAATTTTACGTTACCAAGGGCAGTTATTTTACTTAATTGCCCTAATTGACGTCTGTAACTTAGCTTCCCTCTGTTGGGGAAATAAACTGGTGAAAAGGCGGTAAACAAGTTTTCTAATCCAATGAGATTAATTCAAGTTCCCCAAGTTGTTGGTAAACCATGTTTCGTGTCATTCAAAATCTTAAAAAATTAGATTCTGGACGCAGCTGGGCCTGGTTTAAAGGTGATCTCAACGATGTCTGTTGGTTTGGATCATCTGGACGTGAAGGAGATACAAGCCAGGAATATCAAGTAGGTTTAAAACATGGGTGTATATGTTTGCGAATAACCATCACCCCCCCCCCCCCGAAATTATGTATGTTTGCGCAGAGTGGTAATACAATTAATTTGTGGGTAAAAGCGTTAAAAACTATAAAGAAGGATGAAAAAACTGGTCTTTTGATGTCTATATTCATTTCCCCCCCCCCCCCCCCAATATCATATCTTCAAAAATAATTTTTCCCCTTTCCCGGAGGGAGGGGGGAAATTAATTCTTAAAAATATATACACCTGTACTTCAGTGATTTTCAGTGACTTTTTATTTGACTTTATTATTGCAAGATGTCGTTGAAAGTTTTATCAAGGGAGGGGGGGGCAAATGTAACATTTTGTTCTATTAAATGCAGTACAGTTGGTTCGACTATAAAAGTATCATTTAACAATTTTAAAGAATTATTTTACGCGAAATTTCAAATGAAATGGCAATTAAAAGCTTTGTCTGATCAAGTATGAATTAGATATCCATGTTTTGTTTATGATAACAATTTGCGGTTTCTCTGCGAAAGTGACTTGCACATTTCGGTATAATGCAATTGAGAAATCATCAGATATTAATATTTTTCAAATCAGAAAAACGACAGCATCTTCACAATTTTGACCAGATAAAGTTTCCAAAGGTACCGTTGTGAATCTGGCATTGTCATCTTTGAATTTATGGTCACCTGAAACTACGCTTACAGTCCCTTTAAAATTATTATATTAAAGGATCGGGTATACTCCCAATGTACTGACTGATGCTACGGCTGATCTAACCATTGCTTTGCTTCTGGCAACATCCAGGAGAATTATGGAGGGGAACACGGCACTTAAGGTACAAACATAGACATAACGAAAACACATGTTTTACTGTTTGAATAGGTGAAGCCAGCTCTGCCTGGAATTTTCACATTCTCTAATAGTCAATCCCTTAATATAGATCGAACAAATAGTATTAACGGGAAATTTTTTTCTTTTCTCATTTTGATTTTCTGCTTGTAAGACTGGAGAATGGTCAAGTTGGAGTCCATTGTGGATGTGTGGGCCTGCTTTAAGGTAACTAATCCCCCCCTTTCTCGATGCCTCCGGGCCTACATCCTCAACCAAAGCACAAATGATCAAAATAAAATATAGTGTTAATAAGTTAGAAACAAGATACTTCTGCATATTGAAATACAAATATTCATTGGATTATAGTAGACTAGCTGAAGGGCCCGGCGTTCCCCGTGGAAAAGAAAATAACATAGAAATTTGAAAGAAAAAAGATTTTAAAAAAATATTTTGAATTTTTTTAGTCTATAAAACCCCCGGCCACCCATAAGTGGCCACAAAAATCTTCATTCAAATCGGTCCAGCCGTTTGGCCGGCAATACGCAACATATATATATATACGAATGTCTTGTTTTATTACACAGATTTAGTTATTAAAAATCCCGTAAGATTTCTGCTGATGCTATCTTTTTAATATCATCATCGAATCCAAACTTTTTTGGGGAAAAATTGAATGTTTTAGGCTAAAATTATTTCTTAATTTCTTGTTTCTTTAGAGGTTCAACTGTTGGAATTGTTGGGTTGGGTCGGATCGGAGAAGCTGTCATGTCCAGGTAATAGTTCGCTTACAGTTTGATTTAGCAGAAAGTAGAGGTCATAGATTTTATCTCCAGGGAAAGAGGGGGAGCATTTAGTTTTTGTATTTCTGCCCGCTAAAAATATTCTTTATTTTACATAAAAAAACCTTTCGTCTTTTTTTTCAGACTGAAGCCATTTGGAGTTGAGCGATTTGTGTACAGTGGGAGAGCTAGAAAATCCGTTGAAATAGAAAATGGCGCCGAATTCATCAGTTTCGAGGATTTACTGGTCCAGGCGGATTTCGTGATTATCAGCACAGCGTACACCGAGGAGATGGCAGGGATGTTTAACAAGAAGGTTTTCAATACCATGAAGAAGACAGCAATTCTGATCAACATCAGCAGAGGTAGAGAATTACAGATCTTTAAAAAATGGACTTAATTTTTATGCGACTCTCAAATGAAAGTGCTACATATCTGATTAACATTTATCCGAGTTGGAATGAGGAAGATATCGTAGTTTTTTATCTAAAAAATCTGATTTGTTGATATACCTCCTTGAATAAATCCTTTAGTTTCACAGATGGAGAAACTGCAATAGAAAATGTTCAAATTTAAGAAAGGAAATCCAGTTATTTCTGTCATTTCACAATTGTGCGAAGAGTTGTGAATCAGACTTGCAAGTCCAGAAATGGAAAAAAACCCTTTAATGTAACGAAAAATGGAATTTATAATAATTACTGATGATTGACGATTAAAAAGCAAATATTATTAAAAATCTTGATTTTAGGAATATTTTTGTCATTTTCTGGCTTAATAAGTTCTACTGATTAAGGCGGTATAATAAACCAAGAGGATCTCGTGGAAGCTCTGGAAAGCAAGCAAATATTTGCAGCAGGTAACCGACCTCAAATCTTCCAGCTTTTGCCTTTGAGCCAATTCTTTGTTTAATGTTAATATCAAGATTGAATATTCGTTTACTGAGCTATGCACTATGCATGGTTGTATGTATATAATTTTTAAAATTACAACCCCGGGAAGGGGGGGGGGGACAATGCTTTTTGAAAAAATGAGTGAGCAAAATGATAAATTGGACACTAAAAAGAATTTTTTTATACTTATTTATCAAATTTATAAAAATTTATTTATATCTCCCTCAAAATTATTTAGTTTTTCCCCAAATTCAGCAAAAAAAAACCTAAAACCTTTTTTGATTCACTTTTGATTTTAAAATTATTTAAACCATTTATTTTATAGAATTTTTTTTCCCAGGGTTAGATGTCATGGTCCCTGAGCCTTTGCCTGCCGATCATCCGTTAACTAGGTATTTTTTTTAATTGTAGTTTTATTCATCATTATTTAATAACTAAAAACGATGGGTAAAAACGAAGTAGATGAACTTCAGGGGAAGAAAATTCCAAACCGTGATTTGGCCCAGACTTGACACTGAGTTTCAGGTTTGGGCCAGATGTGCGAAGCTATCTTTTTCAATTGTTTATATTAGTTATATTAGTAGAAAATTAAATAATGAAACAATAAAAATGTAAATAATATATTTTGTTCTGATATTTCAAAATATTTCAAAAACTAACGAAATAAACATTTGAAAAATTCCAATGTTAATATTATATTGTTCTTACAATTTAATTGAACAGAAAAATGCGGGAAATTTTTAATTGAAAATGGAGGAAACTTGGTAGCTTGGTACTTTCCGTATTTAAAAGTATAATGAGCAAAGAAGTTTTAGAATAATTCAGAAGATATAAATATTTTCAGTGATTCATGCTTTTCTGTAAATTATGAAAATGCGTCTTGTTCTGAATTGTTGAATATTTCCAAATTATGGATTGTTCCAAAAGTTGGTTTATGTTCCAAAACGTTAAGATTCGAATTCGTGATATGCGTGAAAATGGAAATCCTTTAATTGTTTCGAAAATGGTATGGAGGTTAAATTAAAAATGAACGCTCACTCACAGATTAAATTTTAGAAAAGAAGTAAAAAGTTTTTTTTTTGTAGTTCTCGTCGTGATTCATAATATTTCGGAAATAGTTTCTTCAATTAGTATTTTCACTCGACACAAGAAGAGTTACTAAAACATTGATCATACTATTTGGGCCCAAACCTGAAACTCATTGTCAGGTTTGGAACATAAGCACAGTTTTGAAACTTTCTTCCCCTGAACTTAGAATATTAAGAATCTAATATTATATTTCCTGCTTAAAAACTACACCTCAAGCATATGTAATTTATTTTCTAACCGATTTCAATAAAGTTTTTGTTCGAAACAGTCGAAACTCTACCAACAATAGAATAGTCAAACGAGGAATAAATTGATTTTTATTAATATTATTAGGGAGGGGGTCAAAGAAAGAAGGGTTCGAAATGTTCTGAGGGTATATAGCAGAAAACTTTTTTGTGCATGAACTATATTTTTTTAAAGAGTTCAATTATTTGATCTAGGTTAGATAACTGTGTACTACTCCCCCACTTAGGGTCTGCAGAGTTACAGACTCGGAATACGATGGGGCTGCTGACTGCTAAAAATATTGAAGCTGCTCTCAACAGCAGCCCAATGCCAGCGGAGTACTAGGCTACAATTTCCACAACACTCATTTTTTAGCATTTAATTTTTGGTCTTCCGAAAACTTAAGAATCCCCTGAACGATTTATTTATTTAATGAATTATTGCGATTTTTTTGGGAAAAATTCAAACTCAAATTTTTTTCTTTGAAATCTCAATTAGTAACTAGGGTGTCCCAAAAAACTGACACTGAAATTAGTTCTGTAAAAATTATTTTCATATTTTTTATTAATAAGATGCACGCCGTGTTTGTTGGGACACCCTGTTACTGCCTGCCCCTGCTATCTGAGAATTGGTATGATTAAATATGAAATCTGACACTTGTTAAAAATCTGGGTTGGGAAGGATGGATGTATTGAGTGTGAACTTGATAAACAAGATTTATTTACAACCTTTGTTTAATTACTCATCTCATCTTGAAGGGAATGAAAACGGAGTCCGAATTTAATGAATTTGAGCCGCGTCTAAAATCCGCAAAAAGTCTGTTCTAATTGAGCGCCGGCTTAAATCTTAAATCATTGAATAGAATTTTAAGTTTAAGAATAATATTTAAGCCACAACTTAACTTAAAGTCGCGGCTCAAATTCTTTAAATTAGGCCTCGGAAAATGTAAATGGATTTTTTTTTTTAATTTAGATAATTGAGATTTTGTGTTGATTATTGATTCAATCTTATTTTTGTCGGGCAAACAACCTCATCAAACATTTTTGTGAACGCTCTTGAGAAATTATTTAAATAATTTAATTCACTTTAATATTCAATAATTCAGTTTTTATTTTCAGATTAGAAAATGCTCGTCAACGCCATCTCCCGAGTTAACCTCAGGTTGGATTAGTTGTTTATAAATCAAGGAAAATGTAAAGGATTGTTGTTTATAAATCAAGGATAATGTAAGGGATTGTTGATGAAATTTCAAGTGTCCATTTATTGAACCGATCAATTCTGTCTTTTTTCTTGTCTGCTCTATAAATCCGCCAGGTACTTTTACAGAAGAACCGCAGTTGAAAGTTGCCATATTTTAAAGCTAATAAATCAAACCAATCTAGCCACCATTTTTTGCCTTCACAAAGGTTTAAAGGGTACCTTCGTCAATCTTAATCTGAAGAGTCACTTGCAGTCCCTTTAATAATGCGTCCAATTCATGGTATGAATGCGGATTTCAGCATTTCCTCTATGTTGATTGATTGATTGATTAGGTCCGCCCTGCTGCAGAAGAGATCAATGTCTGGTCTGCCCAAGTACGAATCCACTGCTGGGATTGGAATGAGCTACGCTATTCCCATCCTAGGTAATTATTATTATTATTAATTAGTATTATCATTATTATTATTATCATCATCATCATCAACAATCAACATATTTCTACTAGTACAACATGAAATGTGTTCTGTGAATATCAGTATTGGATTCACGGGATAATTTTTGAATTGAATTTAAGGCATAGCTGGACGACTTGAAATTGTCCCGTTGATGGCTTTTTTTCAAGGATGAACGGCCAAAATATTGATGGATTTGAGATTTAAGACATCTTAAACGTTTATCCACTGGATGTCTAGTTAAGCTTAGTTGGATGTTCAATACAAAAATGACCGTCTCTCAAACCGAATTTAATTAAGTGGGAGAGGTCGCTGAATTACATACCGCCGGTTTAAATAATGAATCACCAATTTATACTCTCGACCTAGCTCAAAATGGGGAGGTGACTTTTGTCACTGGCCTAGACCTCGATGTCTCGATCACACTAGACTTATGTCATAATCGGATATACATTAGTTTCCATCCTTTGGTGGTTATTTTTGATGGGGTCTCGGCCTTGATTTCCACGGAATGATGGTTGATCTTTTATTTATTTATTTATTTAAAGTGACAAAATTCGGTTTCTGGTCAAACAAATTCAATGCACTGATTACAAACAATAGAGATATATTGACTCTTTGACACATTGTGAAAAACATTCCGGTAAAATCCAGAAATATTTTCATTTTTCATCTCGTCGCTTTTTCTTAGTTTCCCAAAATGGATTTTTATTTTTATTTTTAGGATTTTTCGGTCTCCTCATGGGTATCGGATACATGGTTAGCCCATTCCAGGTAGATACTTAGAACGATAGGGGGTTGGCCAATGGGTGCCCCTAAAAATAATGGTAATCTTTTTTATGAAAAAATGAAAAATGGCAAAATTCTGCCTCTTGTATTTCGATGCAACGATGAAATACGAACAAATTTTGATGTATGTTTTAGGCGAATTTTATGATTTATTTAGGGCGATGGGGGAAATTGATTTAATTAAAGAAACTAAGGGGGGAGGGGGGCGAGCGGGGGTAATGACTTGAAGATATAAATAGTTTTTGTTATATGTTGATCAAATTTTGTTCTATTTCAGAACCGTGACAAGTCGAAGGTCTACACCGAGAAGTATCAGCAGTAAACTTGTATCATTGTATCAATATATATATATATATATGCATATATATATATATATTGTATATTGTTTAATATATAGTAGTCAAACTCTAGCTTAACAACCGTCTTTACTTTAAGAATTAGAGATTAGAATTTCAGATTATAAACTGTAAAATGTCTGATGGAGGGGAGAAGGATGAGGATATGCTGCTCAAGAACATCAGCCATCAACACGATATTCTCACATATTTCGGGAAGAACCAATTTTAATGAGTATCTTTCGACCTACGCACATCCGCTATGCTTAATTTCTGACCTATTCACACGTTAATCTTACCCTCAAATCATAGGAAATAAACAGCTGCCGTAGGTCGGAAAGTTTTTTGGCCAGAAGTTCGGTAAAATGGATGTACAGACGACACAACATTGCCCCAATTTTCAAAAATTGAACTAGGAAATGGAAAACTCTGGAGATAGGGATTGGGGACAGGGTTTGTTACAGTTTTCAAATTAGGGGGTTTAAGTGCTTAAAGGGACTGTAAGCGTAATTTTAAGTGAACTTCCATTTATAATGTGGCATGTCTGATTTACCCTTTAAACTTCTGTTTGTCCAAGGATTTCGTAGATATTCTTATTTATACAGCGGCAAAATGAAGTGCAAATTGTACAACCTTAGTGTTCCGGCACTCAATCTTACAAGCGAGGGTATCTACCTCATCGTTGGCCAGACAAAGGTTGGCACTACAATTAACTCTTGAGCTGTCGTATTTAAAGTGAACAGTGATAGGTCAGAACTTTTGTGTGGAATATCACTCATCTCTATATACAATGTGGGCATTTGAGGATTAATGCCTAAACGTTAAGTTGTCAATGATCAATACAGACTATCAGGAGTGGAGTTAGATTAATCCGTATGCAAGAGAAAGACTAATGCTTGATTCCGAGATTCAGGAAGTCGGACCACGGACCCTACTTACTCAATTTAAATATAATTTTAATCTACGATTCGTCTTGTGTATATCTTACATAAAGATGATACAAATATATTTTCTTAACGTTTTTCTTTCTGGATGTTACTTATGGACAGTGCTTAGGATCTATTCTGATGCGGGTGTGGATCTGGATACATGTTATTTCTATAAAATTTACCGAATTTTTTAACAGAGCAGAATTTTCCATTTTTGTCTTTTTTTTTTGCTTATGTTTATATTCTCAATGAAATATTCAGAAATCATGAAAATCTCTCTTTTTTTTAGATAGTTCAGATTTAGGGTTTGAGAAAATTTTTTTTGCAGTTTTTTGTTGATATTTTCCCCATGTATCCAGATCATTGGATCCGCAATTTTTTTCGGATCCGGATCCAGGAGGCCAAAATTCTGACGGTCATCCGGATCCTAAGCAGGGCTTATGGATATCTACTTCATAAAACGATGAGTAATAAATCAAATAAAAATTTTCCCATTTAATAATTTAGATAATTCGAATTGCTAGTTTTTTTGACGCTTATTGTAGTATATTTTCAAATTTTTTTGTAAGTGTAAGATTGAGATCCATAAAATTTTTTAAAAAACTGAACCGATCTGGGAACTCTTGTATTGTGGATATCAAGATCAATGCACTGCTTAAACTCGTTCTTTTGTTTATCTGCAATTTATTCTTCAGCCGATATTTTTTCGATATCCGCAGAGTTAATTGTACCATAAAGGGAAATCTGAACTGAAAAGACGAAATATTGGTCCTTAAAAGTGCCCACAGTGGATATCAAGATGAAGCGATGAGGATTATGAGTATCGGAACACAAAACATACTAGATACCTGATACCTAGACGAATTTTGCGTGCAAATCTGAAACAAAGTAAGAAATATGGGGTAAGCATACCTTGTAGGGAAAAGTTTTCAGCAAATTAAAAATTGTCCTTTTTTGTTGGTAATCTTAACGGTCTCGAAAAAAAATGTTTAACCTTTATGAAAAACAGATCTCACAATTTTATTTAAATTAAACTTAAAGATTCAAAAGCCATTATCATCCTTTTTTGGGACATCTTGCTCATGTCAGAGATAGCAGTTTAACTTCTTTATACGTCTCACTTAACATCTAGGCGCGTAATTTATTTTTGCCCTTTGTTCAGGCCCTTTATTGGTGTTAACCCTATTCCCGCTGGGGGGGGGGGGTCAATTTGACCCCCCCCTGTAGTTTTTTTTACATAACTCAAAAAGTATTGGTCTGAGGCTGTTGAAATTTTCTGACTTTTCTTACATATCCAAAGCCCTCCCTTTAGGCCTAAAACCGGGCTTTAATACTAACTGCCTGAGTCCTCAGGCACACTACCTGAATGGCTGCTTTTGCCTGTAGCAAACTAAATCTTTCACTTGTCAGATTTTGATAAAATTTGGCTTTTTGGAAAGCCTATGACATAGGGAAACGGATTGCACAAGTTTTGCGAAAAAAAAATTGCAAATTTTTTGCAAACAACCTGTCAAAGGAAATTTGCACATTTTTAGTTTTTCTTGATTAAAAATCAGGTTATTTAAAATTTTGCAAAAATTTTTGCACATTTGAAATGGCATGGTCAAGGGCTTTTCAAAAATGTATAATTTGTCATTTTTTGGACAAATTTTTTTTTGCAAACATTTTTGCTATAAAACTGGATTTTGCGATAAAAAATTCAATTTTCGCAAATTTGCAAATTTTTTTGCAGATTCTAAAAGTAGAGCACAAGAGCTTTCTAATGATGTATCATTTGTCATATTTGGACATAAAACATGGGATTTAGAGGGGGGGGGTCAAATTGACCCCCCCCCAGCGTATCCTGGTTTTCAAGTACCCCAGCGGGGATAGGGTTAAGCCACCCCCCCCCCCTCGGACAAATTCCTCTAAACGCCCCTGCAGGTATTGATGACTGGATGTTATTTTTTTCATCCTAAGAATATGTTTGATTGATTGATTGGAAATATATGGTTCTTCTGATCAGTTCAAGATTCAAGTGGACGAGACACAATTATTCGAACCAACCAAGGAAACAATAGAAATAAAATATTGGAATAATTTGGAATAAAAATGGAATAATTTTATGAAATAATAATGGAATAATTATGGAATAGTTATGGATTAATTATTGTATAATTATAGAAGAGAGGAATAATTATGGAATTATGGAAAAATTTTGGAATAATCATGAAATAAAGGAAAAAATATGGAATAATGAAATGATTATGGAATAATGTTTATTATGGAATAATTGCTAAATTAACCAAAAGTCGCAGTATTAAGTAACACATTTTTATAGTTCATAATCACAACAAAGGATTAGCCTTCAGAGACGACCGTTAATAATTTAAAATTCCCTAGAACTATAAATATCAGTCTCTCTTTGCAAAATCATTAAAAGGGTCATTATAGATCAATTTAAGACAACAGATAACTTAAACTTGGGATAGTCATATTTAAAAAGTTGCTAGTCGTCTTTACAGTCTCATCCTTATAGGTAACCATGTACTTCCGGAACTGTGATATTATTCTCTTGCAAGTAGTTTTACAGTTTACTAGTACTGTTAAGTTCAACTACTCCTTGTTATTAATTACATCCGACCTTCTTTGACTCCCTTATTTCAAAGTGACATCTTAACTAAACGTGAACTTAAAATCATCAAATTGTTTTTCTAGTAATTTATTTTCAAAACTGTTAAAAATGATTCTGTGAACATTTTGAGCAAAAGGAATTATGTCTTTGCCACAAACTCTAATTTTCTAATTTCTATATCTTAGCAGCACAATGTCAAATATTAACTCTGTTAGACTAAATAAGCTAAGTTTGAAATATCAAAGGTTTACACCATGGCATCTGAGGCCGAATTTAAAGAATTTGAGTGGCATGGCGGCTTAAATTTAAGCCGCGGTTTAAATATTCTTGGTTCCACTTAAAATTGTATCAAATGTTTCAAGATTTAAGCCGGCGCTTAATTTAAACCGGGTTTTGGCGGATTTAAGCCGCGACTCAAATTCTATAAATTCGGCCTCAGGTTTCAAAGATTAGAAAAATTGAAGTTGGTATAGACTTAATTAAATAAAGGGACTGTACGCTTAATTTTAAGTGATCTTCCATGCAAAGATGGCACTGCCTGATATATAACGACACCCTTAACAACTTGATCCGACCAAAACTGTGGAAGATAACTTCGTTTTCCTGATTTCAAAAATGTTAATTTGCTATATTTTCTTCCTTGGTTCTGATAAGCAAATAATGTTCAAGTCAATTGTAGAGAAACCGCAAATAAATAAAAGGGTACCGTTGTAAATCGGTCACTGCCATCTTCGCATGGAGGGTCACTTGAAATCAAGCTTTTAAGATTCGAATAAAAATGTTAAAAAAACCTTCTGTTGTTGATTAGGATACACGGAGTGCCATAGATTACTTCTAGCAGCAGCAAGTTCTCTCTTCTACCAGGTCAATACAGGGTGTGGGTGTCCCATTAAACATGATAAAGTAAAGACGACCTATGTTTTACCAGGTCAATACAGGGTTTCCCATTAAACATGATAAAGGAAAGTGAAAACAAACGCTACACAGTTAGACGTGGCCTATTTAGAACTTTTCGCTTTAAATTAGAGGTGTATATTTTCTTGAAAAAATATCCCCCCATCCTCTTTAAAAATAGTTTTCCCCCCAGAAGTTAAATATGTTTGCGTGGAGCGAAAATTTTTTATTTTTTAATCTGAAAACGGGAAAATAAATGACTTTTATGAGGAGATAGAAAATTTTTTAGAGGAAAAGTATCATAGAGGATAAAAAGGTGTTTTTTTTAATTCTTCCCAGGCCCCCCCCCCCAGTTTTATTTCTTAAAATTATACACTTCCCACGTCCCCCCCCTCCGTTTTAATACTTAAAATTATACACTTCCCTATATAACATGTCATTTTCCAGTTACGGTGTTGATATCTGTCTTAAAAAGAATTTTTTTCATGTTTGCAACAAAAATTGTTTGTATTTAATGTCGTATTTTGTTGGTGTAGTGGGTCCAACTATTAACGTTTTTAAAGAAAGTTTGAAGAATTTTTTCCTTTCCCAAGTTTTGGAACAATTGTGCATCAAAATAGTACGATTCAATTTTACAGACCAGAACAAAGTAACATTTGGCTATAGGAATGCAGGCATGATTTGTTTTTCATATTTTTTTCTTTAAAGAGTAGTAAAATTCGTTGTTGCGATATTTTCTGAGACGAGAAGCTTTTTAACTTTACCCAAACATATCATAAGACTCCAGGACATTGTTCATTTAATTCTAAATAATGATTTAAAAAACAAATCGCCGAGAATTTCTATGGCTAAGTTTATTTTGCTCCGGTCATTAAAATTGAATGATGCTAAGCTATCTGGTGCTATATGTTAATATATTAATATTAATGTACACACGTATGTATATATATTAATATTATGGCCATATCGACTGTATAATACCTGAGATTCGAATTGGGTTTCTTAAGCTCCAAAGAAGTAATTTTATGAACACTTATATTGAGAAGAGGGGTTTAAATATGAGAGGAAATATAGCAAAAGCGTTTTTTGAAACAATTCTGTTTCAGATTCTGAAGGAGAATTGCGATGAAGAACAAACCATAGGAATATACTTGATGTATTATTTTTACTTTGTGGTAACTAGAGAGGGGGGGCGGTAACTAGAGGGGGGGGGGTAACTCTCTTTTATCCGTTAAGTTTTTACTTCCTTGTCATTTTGGGAAAAAAAGTCCCCCCCCCCCTTTGCTTACATAACATACAGTCCATCGGATCCATTTAGTTTTAATATTTAGTGAGGATTTTAAGATTTACAAAAGATTTCAATGTTCACTCCACATTTAAACGGAATAAAATTCATTTCTTGAAAGCTTCAATACATTCACTGGAAAAAGTGTTTTAAAGGCCATTATTATTCCTAACTATTCTGCATTCTATTGCATCAATAATCAGGGGTGTATATATTCTTGAATCTCCCCCCCCCCATTGCAAGCGTTTAGTTTTGGTAGTTTTTGATGTCCAATTTTTATTTTTTTCTTCTTGGAGCATCAAAAATCATCTATAATGTTAGTCTTGATGCCTGACTATTCTGCAGCAGAAGTTGAAGATTTAGTTTCTAGATTATATTCCACATCCCATAATACAGGTGGAGGGTAGAAGATCTAGTTTCTAGAATATATCCCATAATACAGGTAGAGGGTAGAAGATCTAGTTTCTAGAATATATCCCATAATACAGGTAGAGAGGTGGAGGGTAGAAGATCTAGTTTCTAGAATATATCCCATAATACAGGTAGAGGGTAGAAGATCTAGTTTCTAGAATATATCCCATAATACAGGTAGAGGGTAGAAGATCTAGTTTCTAGAATATATCCCATAATACAGGTACAGGGTAGAAGATGGAAAATTTAGTTTCTAGAATATATCCCTTAATACAGGTAGAGGGTAGAAGATTTAGTTTCTAGAATATATCACAGAATATATCACATAATACAGGTAGAGGGTAGAAGATCTAGTTTTAGAATATATCCCATAATACAGGTAGAGGGTATAAGATCTAGTTTCTAGAATATTTCCCATAATACAGATAGAGGGTATAAGATCTAGTTTCTAGAATATATCCCTTAATGTAGGTAGAGGGTAGAAGATTTAGTTTCTAGAATGCATTCCATAAGACAGAGTAGAAGATCTAGTTTCTAGAATATATCCCATAATACAGGTAGAGGGTAGAAGATCTAGTTTCTAGAATATATCCCATAATACAGGTATGGAGAGTAAAAGATCTAGTTTTTAGAATATATCCCATAGTACAGGTGGAGGGTAGAAGGTTTAGTTTCTAGAATTTATTACATACTACATTCGGCCCTTGAAGATTTTGATAATCATTAAAAACCAAATGTAACTTTTTTTGAGTTTTAAAAACGCATAAAAATTTCAGACGGTTTCAGTGAAATCTTACCATCACAAGCTGAAGGTGGAAGAATTGGGGGAAAAGTACACACTCTGCTAGACAGACAAAAAGATCTCCGACTAAAGGTGGGACGAATATGTTTGAAAAACGCACAATTGGCAGTTATTGTGGCGCATTAATAGATTTCTTCGATGTTACTCGTCATTTTATTTGACATTTTTTTCGTCATGTTATTTAATATTTTACTTGTCATGATATTTGACATGTTACTTGTCATTTTATTTGACATTTCACTTGTCATGTTATTTGACATTTTATTCTTCATTTTATTTGACATTTTACTCGTCATGTTATTTGACATTTTACTTGTCATTTTATTTGACATTTTACTTGTCATGTTATTTGACATTTTACTTGTCATTTTATTTGACATTTTACCTGTTATGTTATTTGACATTTTACTTGTCATGTTATTTGACATTTTACTTTTCATTTTATTTGACATTTTACTTGTCATGTTATTTGACATTTTACTTGTCATTTTATTTGACATTTTACATGTTATGTTATTTGACATTTTACTTGTCATGTTACTTGACATTTTACTTTTCATGTTATTTGACATGTTACTCTTCATGTTATTTGACATGTTACTCGTCATGTTATTTGACGTGTTACTTGTCATGTTACTTGACATGTTACTTGTCATGTTTCTTGACATATTACTTGTCATGTTTTTTGACAGGTTACTTGTCTCGTTATTTGTCATGTTATTTGACATGTTATTTGACATATTACTTTTTATGTTATTTGACATTTTACTCGACTGGTTACTCTTCATGTTATTTGACATGTTACTTGTCATGTTTCTTGACATATTACTTGTCATGTTATTTGTCATGTTATTTGACATGTTACTCAACATGTTACTTGACATGTTATTTGACATATTACTTTTGATGTTATTTGACATTTTACTCGACAGGTTACTTACTTGTCATGTTTCTTGACATATTACTTGTCATGCTATTTGTCATGTTATTTGACATGTTACTCAACATGTTACTTGACATGTTATTTGACATGTTACTATAGTTGCTAGTAGTAAAGAGACTGTAAATGAGACTGGGTAGAATTAGTAAAGATTCCATAAAATTCCGGGATTTATTTAATTTAATTATTTCTAGAAGTTCAACATTTTTTAGATTGAACTTGAAGAGATTGATGTGGGTTCAACGGACTCAATAAACCGCTCAATGTTGAGGTAATTAGAAAATAAATAGAAAAAATGTTTGTTTTTAAAATGCTTTAGTGAAAAATATTTTTTTATAACCTAAAAAAAGGGATTTTATCGATTGTCCTTAATTCTATTTAAGTTGGAGTTTTATATTTAAATTTTTAATTGATTTGTCCTTATTCAATAATATATAAATATGTGAAATATAACGATGATGAATTATTTACTGAATGGGGGATGCAATTTATAATTGATTGTATTGATTAAGAATAATGCAACACGACTAGATTTTGTGACTAGTGATGAAGCTATAACTAAAAATTATTATGATTAGGGATAATGCAATAAGCATAAAATATTTGATTATGGATGATGCAATTAATATAGATTTTTTATTTGGAATGATGCGATGACTAAAAATTGTTTTGATTTGGGATGATGCAATAAATAAAGATTTTTTATTTGGGATGATGCAATGACTACAAACTGTTTTGATTAGGGATGATGATATGACTATAGTACCTGACATAACTTCTCATCTAGAATATATGGATTACGGCTCAGGTTTACATGTTAAGATTAATTCTTATTTATGGATCTCCCCCGGCCCACTCATCTCTTATTCCATGCCATCCTTCATTAATATTTTCATATCTCCCCTCCCCCTCCTCTCCCCTCCCCTCTCCTCCCCTCCTCCCCTCCCATGAAACAAATTGATTAAACTTTTCTGTTACCTTCTTCTATTTTACATGGCAGAAGGATTGAATTAATTTGAATTATTGAGTTTGGATCAGTCCTAAGGATACGGATCCATTGGATCTGCAACATTTTGGCTTCTTGGAACCGGATCCGCTAAAATATGCGGATCACGGATCCAAGGGCCAAAATATCAACAAAAAACTGCAATATTAATATTTTGCTCTCTACCCAAATCTGAACTGAAAAGAGAGATTATTAAAAGTTTCCTTATCTCGCATAAAACCTTTAAGAAATGTTCATGACCTGGATCCGGATCTATTTTTTCCAAGTGCGGATCTAGGATCCGGATCCGCATCAAAATCAAATGGATCCTAAGCACTGGTTTTAATGGTTCATTATTTTTGAAGGAGCGGAAGCGGGTCTTATGTCTGATTCTGAAAGTGATTATGAAAGGTAAACTGCAGGGGATATTAGTTCCAAAACTAACACTCAGCCTATTTCGAACACTGTGTGTTAGAATTGGGCCAATTTTCATCCATCATTTTAAATCCAAGACGAGTAGAACACAATTACACCATATATTTATAAAAAATGGCTAAAACTATATCAGGATATGTTCCAAAATGGAAAACCTAAAATTTTCTTGAAAACGGTCAAGAGATTTGATATAAAAGAACTCTTATTATAATTTTGATTTTTGTCCTCGTCATAAAAAATAAAATTTTTGGTTATAGTTCTTATTTTTCGACTTACACTCTGGATATGGGCCGGGATCCCAAAAACCCAGTCTTTCAATTTGTGCCCATTTCCAACACTCAGTGTTAGAAATGGGCCAAGTTTTAGTTTTGGAACTAATGTCCCCTGTTACTGCTGTCCGAGTAGTAATAGGAAGATATTGTTGTTTTTATATCTTAAAAGTATTTTTTGAAATTTTCTCTATTGTCGCTGAATTACTTAAATCCACAAGTCACAAATCAGAATTATTTATTTATAAGAAATTGAAAATCTCTTTCATGACCAGACCTATGTCTATAGGGTACCGTTGTGAATCGTGTATACCAATAATTTTTAAATGGAGAGTCATTTAAAAATGCATCTTAAGTTCTATATCATTATTTTGATAGGTAATGATTACGGAAACATTTAACTCGAGTAAAATTTGTTCTTAACTTCCTTGTCACGGGTGTGAACCCTACTCCCTAAAAATCATTTAGTTTCCACAATTCAGCCGAAAAAAAAACTAGGGCAAAAATTATTTTCAAAATAATATACACCCATGTGTTTTCAAGAGCTGTGAAAAAGAAGAAGAAGAAAGTTACAAAGACAAAGAAGAAGAAAATAAAATTGACCGATGAGGAACCAGTTGCAAAGAAAAAAGAAACTAAGAAGAATGGCAGGTAGAAATTTCACTAAAAATATATATTTAGTTTTTTTGTTTGTTTGTTTGTTAGTATTCAATAAACGTTGAATCGGTGAAACTGTTTGGGCCACAATTTTTCACATGACCCATTTACATGTCGAAATGTTGAAAATCCGCCAACTCCGATAAAGTTATTGTTAATTGGAGTGCAATAAGAAAGCAGTGACTAGATAAGCTACATTTTAAAGATAAAATTGTTACACAATTGTTACTTGAAAATGGGCGCTTTGTATGTATTTCTTTGTTTTCAGTACATGTTGGGCTGTTTGGAACCATTAAACGCAAAAGTCAGCTGTACTAGCCTTATAACGTGCAATGATTTATAACCCCTTGCGACCAAAATTACAAGTCAGGGATTTAGAAACAGACCTGCATATTTTGAAGAATAACACCAAAATTATTTTAATGGTCTGGGGAAAATTAAAAATAAATACAGAAACTTACAAGTTTTCCAATATATTTAGATGATAAAAACACATATTTGATGGCCAACATACATAATATCTGAGAATAGACAATCTTTGTATTGAAAAAAAATCAAGAGTATAAACCCCTGACCATGAATAACTTATATATTTTAGACCCAGTATCTTTCCATATGCTTGTGAATTCTGTTCGAAAGTCCTTGTTGATCACCGGAAGAAATATAAACATAGATGCAAGCCGGCTGATCTTTTACAAAATGTTGGGTTAGATTTTTTTACTATTATTATCATTATAATCATTAGTTTAAATAGATAAAAAAAATAATAATATAATAATAATAAATAATAAATTATTAGTTTTTAATTTTAAATAAAACCACCTTATGACATATATTTAAAATAAATACATAAACCCCTGGAGTTGAAAACTTAGTTAAGTTTATAAATTCAAGGTTATTGGGAAAATCCAGGCAAAGTTGGGTTTCCATGCTAGTTTATCACACTTCTGATAAGAGCCCCCCCTCCCCTCGCGTCCGCTTACCAAGTTCATTCATCTAAGTCAATAAATGCAGATATTTCCTAATGATAATATTAATATCAATTTAGGAATTTGAAGGGTGACGATCTAGATTTTGTAAACGATCTGAAAACCGGGATTATTTGCCATCTTTGTGGGACCAGGTAATCTTAACTTAGTTTTGAAAAGGATTGTGCGTCCATATGGTGATATATGAAATAATCCAAAAAAAATCACGAAAATCAACACAATTAAACATTTTTTAAACCTAAAACGACAATATTTTCTTCATTATTAACCAGATAAAGGTTTCAAGGGAACCCTTGTGAATCAGGCCATACCATGTTTGCCAGGATGGCAACTTGAAATTACACTTACAGTCCCTTTTAATTGATTTGCTTTAATTTAATGTAATTTAATGTGATATGATGTATTTCAGTTTTTTGAGTCCGTCCTTGCTAAAAGCTCACCTCGCCATGAATTGTGAAAATGTTTGTGAGATCTGCAGATCAGTTCTTCATAACAGGTAGACAACTGGTAGATAACTGGTAATTAACTGGTAATTAACTGGTAGACAACTGGTAGACAGCTGAACCCATTTGTCACAATCAGCTATTTCAGGGGTGTATATTTTCATTACAGTATATTATCATGCCCCTCTTTTAAAAATCATTTATTTCCCCATAATTAAAGTATGTTTTATTATTTTTTTTCTGAATTGGGGTAAAATAAATGATTTTAAATTAAAATGTTAAAAAAATATACATTCCTGGGGAAATTTAAGAGCTTTTCTTAACGGCTGATATGTCGTCTTAAATGTCTCAGAGATCAAGAAAGCTCATTTAATTTAAAAAAATGAGACAATCCCAAAGAAAACATTACGAGTCTAAAATCACGTTGGCAAAAATGGGCTAGTATATTAACTTGTCCTGACTGAAAAACTGGTTTGGATCCGTAATTCTAATTTAAAGAAAACATTCTTTATTTGCAAATTTTTTGTTAACTGACATTTAATTATAAACTTTCGAGAAAACTTAAAAATAATTTAATCAAAAACAACCCGTAAAATTCAAAATCAAATATAAATAATAGAAAAGGTCAATAGTCATTCATAGCGTGGAAATCATGGCCGAACCCCTTTAAAAAAAACCACTTAAAGACGGAAATTAATATAACAGTTGATTAATGACACAAGTCTTGTGTGACAACAACATGCCAAGGGCAAGGCCAAGACCAAGGTCACCTCCCCACTGCACACCAAGTCCAAAAGATGCCTGGACTAGGCCTCTTTCAAATATTTGTTTTTCTGTTAATCCTTATTAATGAAGACATTCTTTTCTTAACGGCTGTTATGTCGTCTTAAATGTCTCAGAGATCAAGAAAGCTCATTTAATTTAAAAAAATGAGACAATCCTAAAGAAAACATAAAATCACGTTGGCAAATATGGGCTAGTATATTAACTTCATTTTGAACCTGATGGCAAAACATTGTATCTTGATCTCTGAGACATTTAAGACGACATATCAGCCGTTAAGAAAAGCTCTTAATTTTCCCCAGGAATGTATGTTTTTTAAACATACGATTAATATATTTTCATAATTGTGATTTTTTAAGAACTGAACTGAGAGAACACATGTTTAAAGTTCATCACAAGGAAAACACAATATTTATTATGAGATTATTTTTTTTTCAAAAATAATCTAAAACATTGTCTATTTGGTTGTACGTCTCCCCTCTACCGTAATTTTTTCATTGATGTTTATAGTCCTAAAACAATTTATTGTTTTTTTTGGTTGTACGAAGAAAACAACTTTAAGGCATTTTTTATCCCTGCTTAAGGGGTTCATCTAACATTAATCTGGTTACACCCAAAATTACCATTTCACAACTTTTACTTTGAAAAATCTGCCACAAATAGTATCCAAGTCCATAAAAACTGACACAAATAGTATCCAAGTCTATGAAATCTGGCACAAATAGTATCCAAGTCCATAAAAATTGGCACAAATAGTATCCAAGTCCTTGAAAATTGGCATATAGTATCCAAGTCCATAAAAACTGGCACAAATAGTATCCAAGTCCATGAAATCTGCCACAAATAGTATCCAAGTCTATGAAAATTGGCACAAATAGTATCCAAGTCCATAAAAACTGGCACAAATAGTATCTAAGTTCATGAAAACTGGCACAAATAGTATCCAAGTCCATGAAAACTGGCACAAATAGTATCCAAGTCCATAAACACTGGCACAAATAGTACCCCAGTCTATGAAAACTGGCACAAATAGTATCCAAGTCCATGAAAACTGGCACAAATAGTATCCAAGTCCATGAAAACTGGCACTAATAGTATCCAAGTCCATGAAAACTGGCACAAATAGTATCAAAGTCCATGAAAACTGGCACAAATAGTCCATGAAAACTGGCACAAATAGTATCCAAGTCCATGAAAACTGGCACTAATAGTATCCAAGTCCATGAAAACTGGCTTATATAGTATCCAAGTCCATGAAAACTGGCACAAATAGTATCCAAGTCCATGAAAACTGGCACAAATCTACAATCTACATGCCCCACTGCCCTGTTTAAATATTGGTGTTTCTTGGTGAAGGTTATTAAACGACGGACAGGGGAAGATACAGAGAAAACTGTTCACTGTACACAGTGCACTAAATCCTACACTAAACAATTTCAGCTAAATCATCACGTCAAAAAGGTATTTATCAAAATGGTATTAAAAAGGTATTTATCAATAAGGTATTTATTAAAAAGGTATTTATCAAAAAGGTATTTATCTAAAAGGTATTTATCTAAAAGGTATTTATCAAAAAGGTATTTATCAAAAAGGTATTTATCAAAAAGGTATTTATCAAAAAGGTTGTGGAAGACGATGCCTGGCCGCGTTAAACTAGTTCCACAAGATTCAACAGAATGAGATAGAACGGATACGGGGCATTAGAAAAAAGGTACTGATCAAAAAGGTATTTATTAAAAAGGTATTTATCAAAAAGGTATTTATCAAAAAGGTATTTATCAAAAAGGTATTTATTAAAAAGGTATTTATCAAAAAGGTATTTAACAAAAAGGTATTTATCAAAAAGGTATTTATTAAAAAGGTATTTAGCAAAAAGGTATTTATCAAAAAGGTATTTATCAAAAAGGTATTTATCAAGAAGGTATTTATTAAAAAGGTATTTATTTAAAAGGTATTTATTTAAAAGGTATTTATCAATAAGTTATTTATTAAAAAGGTATTTATCAAAAAGGTATTTATCAAAAAGGTATTTATCAAAAAGGTATTTATTAAAAAGGTATTTATCGAAAAGGTATTTATCAAAAAGGTATTTATCTTTTTGTGTCGAAGGTAAACATGTAATACTCAATTCCGTCAAAACCGGATTTTTGTTTCGTGGATTTTCCGAAATATTTTCTGCACATTTTCAACGGATAAAATGTTTGTTCTTTAAAAGAAATCATAACAGTCGAAGGAAATAGATACTTAATACATTTTAACTTTTGTTTTGTTATAACGAATAAATTAAGTTTTCCATTTTTAGGTTCACAATGCAGAAGTGGTGCCAGTAAAGTTTCAATGCCAAGAATGCGGGAAATTAATGTCATCTCGGGTGGCTCTGAGAAAGCATTCATCTCTTCATAAACCTCCCGGTAACGACCCTATTTACCAAAATACGTATTTCACTAACGGTTCGTGAATACCACTAGTTTTCGTATTCCTAGTAAAAAGATTAAAAAGTGTTATTAAACGTTTCGGTTCGTTCTTTAAAAGTTTTCTTTTATTAAACTTTTATTAAATTGGAAAAATGATAAAAATAATTGTTATAACACGTTCGATTTTTGCATTGTTTTTGCTTCGATTTTTGCAAATATCTTCTGACAGGGTCAAAATTTTGCATAGTGTAAGAAAGGCAGATGTTAAAAAGAAGCAATTTTGAAAACTATTTTTTAAACTATTTTTTATTCTTTTGTCAAATTTTGAAACAAAAAGAAAGTAAAGGCAAAAAATTACCTAATATTACAAAACACCTTTATGTACGTGGCTACCGTTAGCATGAAATAAAATACAAAAAAACGAATATCTTAATGATATCATTATGTTTAAAAAGATTGTGCTCATTTTTCTGTTCTCATCCTTCCTTCCTCATTCTATTTTACTCATTCTTTCTTTCTCCTCCTACTTTTCTCATCCTTCCTTTCTCCTTCCTTGCTCATTCTTTCTTTCTCAGCCTTCCTTTCTCATTCTTTCTTTCTCATCCTTCTTTTCTCATCCTTCCTTTCTCCTCCCTTTCTTTTCGTTCTCATCCTTTCTTTGTCATTCTTCTTTCTTCATTCTTTCTTTCTCATCCTACCTTCCTCCTTTTTTCTTTCTCATACTTCCTTTCTCTTAGTTTCTTTCTCATACTTCCTTTCTCTTAGTTTCTTTCTCATCCTTCCTTTCTCATTCTTTCTTTCTAATATTTTTTTTTTATTTTTCTGTTCTCATCCTTTCTTCCTCATTTTTATTGTCTCATCATTTTTTTTTTAAATTATTGTTTTCCAGAGCATTCCTGTCCTATCTGTGGGAAATTATTCCATAATCGACAATACTTGAGCCGGCATGCGCTTAGCCAACATGCGGAACAGGGTATCCAGAAACATCAGTGAGTATTTTTTAACATATATTTTTTTAAATTTAAATTTTAACAAAATTCTATAAATTAGATAAAATCAGCTGCAAATATTTTGACATTTCTGTTTTTCTAAATCTCCATTTTCTTGTTGCTGTTCGGCTAATTTTTTGTTGTAAGTTTTAGAACTTCTCCTTATCAATGAGTATCTTAAAAACAATTCATTTTATTTTAAATCTGCCTAAAAAAATGGCCCAATTTATGAACATTTCTTAACAAATAAACATATAATGTTCTAATTTTTTTTTTCTTCTCTTTTTTCTCTCTCTGTTTTATGTTGAAACTTTATTTATTACTCATCTTTTTATAATTCTCATTTGTTAGCAGTTGAGATTTTTTGTTTTAAACTTTTTTGAATTTTTGTTTTTTTTTTATAATTTTTAAAAACTTTTTTTTGGGGGGAGGGTGCCCGGTGCACCCTACTATTTTGAAATAAATGTATACCTCTGGTTTGAGTTTAAATTTGAAATCATCTGTGAGCAAAAAATCGGCATTGGAAATTATAATGATTAGATGTGATATGTGTGACAAAGGATTTAACAATAAAGAAGCACTGCAGGGTCACAGAAACTGGCATCTCAACCTTAAACCATATCAATGCAGGTACATAGGTCGGAAATCTGAACGCCGTAACTCATTACAGTAAGCGTAATTTCAAGTGACCCTTCATGCAAAATTGTCAATGCATTGCACGATATACAACAACTTAAAAGTGACCTGCGCATTTCTACTGCAAGAACACATGTAGGAATTGCCTGTTGTAAACTCCTGTAAAGGGTATGACCGCGTACACATGGTATTGGAGCTGAGAGTTCAGTATTGTAAAGACATTTTTAAGTATTTATTTTAGACCTAAAAGACGTTTTTTTTTCGGTGTAAAATTGTTCAGCAAGGACGAAAAATCGATCTTTAAAATCCTTTTTGGCGCCCGCCTGCCCTGCAGGTGGTGGCAAGGCACGTACGCCCTGCAATTTCTCTACAATACTGTACTCTCAGCTCAACAACCATGTTTTCGTGGTCACTCCCTTGAGACCTAGAAAATTGATAATATTTTTTTCAATTGATCAATGTTCAAATTTAATGAATTTAAGCCGCGTCTCAAATCTCCCCAAAACCGGTTTCAATTGAGCGCCGGCTTAAATCTTGAATTATTAAATACAATTTTAAGTGGAACCAACCATAAATTCTTTAAATTCGGCCTCAGATAAAGGAGGTTATCGTTGTGAATCGGGCATTGCCATCTTTGCATGAAAGGTAACTTGAAATTACACTTTTGGATCAACATGTGGCCAAGTAACATTCTATTTTTATAAATTTGAAATCTGTTGTGATTTTACAACTAATAAAGAGGAAAGGGGGGGGGGGCAACAAACAGTATAGGCTAAATAATTACGTTAAATAAAATAAATAAAACTGTTGAAGGTGGTGCGAGAGAAGTTATCAGAATACATCCAACACAGCAGCACACGAGAGAAAATCACACAGGTTTATTTCTGACCCCCCTCCCCTCCTACTCTTCCCACAAATGTTTCCGCGGACATTTTTTAAAAGGATTTTTCGCAGATTTGAGGCAAATAAATCAGATTATAAAATATAAATACATATTATATAGTTTATAGATGTCCTTTAAAATACATTTTTCTAATTTAACCCGAAAAAGACTTCCAAAATCTGAACACTCGAAATATATTTAGACAACCGCGATTCAAATTTTTTACAAAATATCTAATCTTGTTTATTTTAAGCTTTTCATGAAAGTTTTCAAAATATTTAAATTATTGAAGTGTTTTTTTAGAGATGTTTATATGGCTTCGCTGAAAAATGGAAACCGTCGTTTTCAGATAAAAGAAGAAATTATGCAGATCAGTTCCAAGCATTCTATTCTCATTGTTTAAACTGTGTCAAGGAACTAACATCTAATAATGCAGATCAGTTCCAAGCATTCTATTCACATTGTTTAAACTGTGTATAGGAACTGACATCTAAGGGACTGTAGACTTAGTTTAATGTGACCCACTATGTCTGATTCACAACGGTACAACTTTCATCTGAGGAAACTATCCTTGTTTCTCTATCTAAACATTAATAGATTTAGATTGCGGTTTCTCTACGGAGTAATGGGTATTGTTGTGAATTGAACATATAACACTTTCAATAAAAGGTTACTTAAAATTAAACCTACAGTCTCTTTAAAGAATAAAAACATTCTTTGGTTCTCAATATAAATTTTTACTGTGTAAGCCATTTAAAAATGATCAAAAACTATTTATATAATTAAAATTATCAAATGAAATTTAATGCCATCCTCAAAATCTATTGAGTAATGTATTTTCGTTATTTTAATATAATGTAAGTTTAGTCAAAATGTAAGCTACGGTGCGCCGTAAGCTACCTGAATCAAATTCGATGATGAATATCAATTTTTTAAAAGGTGACCAAAGATTCTTCATTGCTTTCTAAATGAAGGGTCACTTTCAGTTTCGATAAAAGCTATGCAAAATACAAAAATTCTTGTAATAAAATTATCAAACCTTTTAAGTGCATTGTGCATCTGTGCTTAGCAGCACATATTGTTTCAGATGAAATGAATCATAACAATATATTTATGTACGGTCCGTACAGCTAGCAGTTTTGGAGGAGGAAGTTATGTACAGTGTACATAAAGGTCTGATGGAAATGAAGCTTCCGTTTAGTAATAGGTAACAATAACAAGAAAGGTTAAGTTAAGAAATAAGAGATTTAATGAAAATGAAAGTTTACTATTTTCTCATGTTAATAAAATAAACATAATAATTAGTTTTTATGTTCATGCTGATTTATTTTTTAAAACATAAAGATTAAAAAAGATAAATATTAAATATATTAGGGAAGGGATGTAAGATAAAATTAAAAGGGAAGGATATAAGCAGTGCTTAGGATCCATTTAATTTTGATGCGGATCCGGATCCGGATCCTGGATCCGCTTTTCAAAAAAAATGGATCCGGATCCAGGTCATTAATCAAAAAAAATTTAGTTCAAATATTTTTTCATACCTAAAAAAATGTTAACCATTTTAACATATTTTAACGTTTTTTTTACTATTTTTACTGTATTGGATGAAAAAACAGGTCTAATTCATATTTGCTTTTAGTAGAAGAAGGGCGTTTAGAATATCTGCCTTCTGGCAACTCCTTTGGTCTGATTTGAATATCTTCAGTGCAGAGAACAGTCTCTTTATACTGGGAACACAAGATGTTTCTTAGCATCTGTATCTTCTTAGCGTATGTGCGCTCCCTTTTCCCCCTCACTCTTACACATCCTTACACCTTAATTTGTGAAGACTGAATTTGCTTAGTTGCAATGGGGAAAAGGGAGACTTCCCCCCCCCCTCTCTAGTTATCAAAGGGGGTGGGGGTGCACGGTGGAGGTCTGAGTTAAGATTTGAGCAAGATAGAAACCTGAGACCCTTTGAATAGTTTTAAAATCTTTTAAACAATTCAAAATAGGATATTTTTAAGCAAAAATAACGCTGTTTTGCACATTTTGAAAAATAAAATTTTGCTTGAATCTGGATCCGTGGATCCGCATTTTTTGTGGATCCGGATCCGTAGAGCCAAAATAATGCGGATCCAGCGGATCCGGATCCCGATCCGGATCCGGATCCGGATCCTAAGCACTAGATATTAGATATAAGGCAAGGAAAGTAAGATAAATTAAAAGGGAAAGAAATGAGACAAGAAAAGTAAGATAAAATTGAAAGGGAAGGATATAAGACAAGGGAAGTAAGATTAATTAAAAGGGAAGGATACAAGACAAGGAAAGTAAGATAAAATTAAAAGGGAAGGATAAAAGGCAAGGAAAGTAAGATAAATTAAAAAGGAAGGATATAAGACAAGGAAAGTAAGATAAATTAAAAGGGAAGGATACAAGACAAGGAAAGTAAGATAAAATTAAAGGGAAGGATACAAGCCAAGGAAAGTAAGATACAATTAAAAGGGTAGGATAAAAGGCAAGGAAAGTAAGATAAATTAAAAAGGAAGGATATAAGACAAGGAAAGTAAGATAAATTAAAAGGGAAGGAAATAAGACAAGGAAAGTAAGATACAATTAAAAGGGAAGGATATAAGACAAGGAAAGTAAGATACATTTAAAATAGAAGGACATAGTGAGGAAAATGTAGGAAAAAGAAAGGAAAAATTGATTGATAATTACCGGAAAAAAGCCTTTTACAATTAAATTTTTTTACAAATATTTTTATTGTTTTAGGTTAGTGCTTGTACTCATTTTCCTGTTTTGCGCCAACATTTGGTTTCTCTTCAAGGTAGAGCAAACAAAAAGTAGCATTTATATTTTAAATGTTTTTTTTTGTACTTTGCAATTAACTTTCAAAGTGTGTGTGGGTGGGGGGGGGGGTGAAGATCGAAGATGGTACTTGAAACTTTTAACTCTTTTTCTTATGTTTTGTGTCCAAATTATCAATCTTATGTTGATTTTGGGTATTTAGAATTTAATCCTATAATCATTGTAATCATGCTTAATCTAATATGGTTCGATTTTAATCATGTTTGAGTGAAATCAACTGTTTCTTTACAATATGATCAGTGCTTAGGATCCATTTCGATTTGATGCGGATCATGATCCGGAACTGGATCCGCCCTAGAAAAACGAATCCGGATTCGTGTCTAGGTCCTGATAATTTCTTCCAGTTTTACTGACTTTTTTGAACAATTTTTCTTCTTATTACTTTACAATTGAGATTTGTTTTTTGAAAGCAAAATTTTTTAACTTGATTTTTTGCCCCTTGGTTCCGGATCCGAGGGGTATGATGTCATGGCCCGATTTTAATCATTATGTTTTTTCTAGGGTTGTTCGAATATAATAATATTGTCGTTTTAGGGCAGTTCAAAAAGCTGGCTGGGGTTTAGTAGACGAGAAATCACATTGGTTCAAAGACTACGGTTTGTAGAAAAGAAAACTTTAAAAAGGGTTTATAAAATTTTAATTGTATTATAAAATTTTTTTCTTTTAAAACAAACGACAGGCTTCAGTTAAAACACAAATTTACAACATCGCATCAATTTTGAATTATTTAGACGAACTTTAAGCAGATTTACGTTATACAACATTTTCTTTTGTTTTGTTTAAACAAAAAACAGGGATTAGGTCTTCAAGCCCAAAAAAAATGGGACGACAAAATTATACGTAATGGACTTATTAAAAATAAAAATAAAACATTTCAATGTCTTTTTAACGATTTGGACGACAAAAAAAATAGTCCTTCAGGTTGCAAAAATATCCACGTTCTTTAACTGTTAAGAATATCAGTTGTATCTTTTCAAAATAAAAAAAAAATTCTATTTTTTATGTACTTCAAACATCTCATTTTTGTTCTCGATGCTTGACTTAATGAACAAACTGTTGGTTTCCTTAAACTATCCTTTTTTTTCTGCGTCAACCTCAAACCTAGGATGTTTGGTTCCTTACTATCCTATTTTTCCTGCGTTAACCTCAAACCTAGGATGTTTGGTTCCTTCCTATCCTATTTTTCCTGCGTCAACCTCAAACCTAGGATGTTTGGTTCCTTACGTACTAACCTTTTTTTCCTGCGTCAACCTCAAACCTAGGAAGTTTGGTTTCTTACTATTCTATTTTTTTTTCTGCGTCAACCTCAAACCTAGAATGTTTGGTTCCTTACTATCCTATTTTTTTCTGCGTCAACCTCAAACTTAAGATGTTTGGTTTCTTACTATCCTATTTTTTCTGCGTCTTACCTGGTTCATTGGATCCATAATTTACCAAAGTCAAAATAGAACTGGGATGTATATTGTATATGTATTGCAGTAACCCGTCCACAGACTGACAATAAAGAATTCTTCTATGGCCAAATACGAAAGTAGAACCTTTTCATTTCAAACATAATCCTTGTCTGTTTTTTGGGTCACACTGTATGGCAAATTTAATTTAGAGAATCTGAGGACCAAGTGAGATGGCTTGGGCGTCAATTAAGGTAATTAACAAAGGGACTATTATGTTGAAAGTGATTGTACGCGTAATTTTAAGTGACCCTCCATGCAGAGATGGAAATGCCCGATTCACAGCGATACCCTTGAAACCTTTATCTGATCAGTAATGTGAAAGATATTGTCGTTTTTCTAGGTTTAAAAGTGTTTATTTCTGACAGTTCCTGTATGTTTTCCTGCAGTAGAAATCAGCCTGGGAGCGGAAATGTCATGTTTGTGTGTCTGTACAAAAAGAGTGTGTGTAAGAAATACCGAACCAAAGGCGTGTACTGTAGGTATATACAGTAAATTATATTCTCGGTATTTGTACAGTCTAGGAGAGTAAATTTGTTTATTGTTAATTGTTTACTTAAAAATAAGTTTAATATACATGTAATATATTATTTACATATTTAAGTCAACACTATAAAGCCAAATTTTCATGCAAAGAATATAATTTGATTAAAGTTTACAATATGACGACATTGTTCTGCAATTTCCTTGACTTTAGTCATGCTGTGTGTCTGTACCAAAAGAGTGTGTGTAAGGAATACCCAACTCGTCAGCAAAGCAGTGCAACTGGTTTTCTCAGGTCAGACCAGCGCCATTTCCTTTCCCTTTATTCCTGTTCCCTCAAATCAGCATGTCACTTTTCTGGAGAACCCTCCACTGGAAATTATCAATTTTGAATTGGGCATTGCCATAATTTTATAGGGTCTCTTGAAATTACGCTTACAGTCCCTTTAATAGATTAAGAAATTTGAGCTGAAAACTTTAGAATGGGATATCCTTTATCCCGATCGGTTAATTAATCTGGAGATTAATATCAAGAGGAGAACAAGCAATATTCATTCTGGATATTTAAAAAAAGAGGAGATCAAGAGTTAATCTCTATATCCACCATTCTAAAGTTTTCAGCTCTGAGAACAGGCTTCGCATAAAAGGAGGCAATGAATAGAAATTATTTAAAGAAAAACAAAACTGTTATTTTACTCCACTCCAAACTGGCCTTCTTATTTGTTCTTCTAAATTTTTTTGAAAACTATTAATGAAATAAAAACGCTAAATGCAAATGTTATTTATCTTAGACTTTCCCAGACAAAGCATAAGAAGGTTGACCCCAAGACACCTCAGCTTTCAAAATCTCAGAGGTAAATAGAAAGATATTTATTGGTTTCATTATTATGTTTAATTTGTGAATAAATGATGGCATGATTGATTGATTGATTGATTGATGGACCGATTGATAGATGTAAAGATATAAATATATAGATATAATTTGGTTGATTGACTGACTGATTGGCTGACTGATTGATTGACTGATTTATTGACTGATTGATTAGTTGATTGATTGACTCATTGATTGACTCATTGATTGATTTATTTTTAGATGTAATGATATCCATATTTGCATTGTCTGCTCTGGATACAACGCCAGTAGAACCGTTGTAACACTTATCAAGGAAAACAACCAGCCCACCAATTAATCAATCAAAAAATATTAAATTTTTTACTTAGATGATATCTGTCATATTTACAATATTGATATGCAGTCCAATTTTTCAATGAACGCCAAAAAACTGCTTTGAAGGATCTAACATTTCCTTTATTTAAATAAATCTTGAAAGTTTTAAAACAATGTATCAAATGATGTGTCACATTCAAGAATTTGCCAAATTTAATTTTTTTTTTTACCTTTTTTTATTTTTTCAATCTTTACAGTCACCGTTGAGTTTTTAAAATGTTGTGGTCCATGGTTTGTTTTCTAGAGTATTCTCTACTACAGAACTCATCCTCTCATTTTCCATTTTGTGTCAGATCATAGCTCCAGGAACACATTTAAAAAAAAAATTCAATTCATCAATTAAACATTTAAAAAAGAAATTAAATTCAGTTTTTTTCACTGTTTAAAAAGTAAGTGATTTATCAATTCACAATTATTTTTTCAACTTTCTACAACTTCAAATTACGGAGAGAATCGTTCAAAATATCTTATTCAGTATTTTTGGAATTTTATTTTTCTTAAAAGCTCTGGGTTATGAAATTCAATCAATATATTATATAATCAGTATTGTTGAACATCAATCTTGTAAATCCTACAGAGTTGGAAACAAGAAATCAGAGAGTTTATACAATTTATATTTTATGTCAAATGTTGTATCAGACGTGTTCTAAATAATCTTGTGACGTCTTGGAATCTATCCCATGTTCAATTCCAGTAAGCATTTTGTATATTAGGCTCCGATTTAGTCNCTTCTAAAGAAAATGTTCCATCAAAATCAGTATTTAAAAATATCCTTACAAGTTATTTAAGATTTTTTAAATTCGCCAATTAAAGATTTTTTTTATTAACCACCATTTTGAAAAGCTTAAACTACATTTATGAACGACGTTTTCCTAAAAGTTTGTTATTTTCAATAAGGGACTAGATAGCTTTTCCCTTTGAAAATTGATTATTTGGTTTCTCTATAAAAGTAACACTTTATTACGTTTACCATTGCATAAACCTCTTAAATTTAAGATTTGGCTTAAAAACAGCAATTCGTTCTTAATGTTCTAAATTTTCGGGGNATTTCTTTTCACCAAATTTTTTTTTTAACATTTCTATTAAAAATCTTGTATTACCTTCAAAATATGAAGAAGACAAAATTAATCATATAAAGAGCTTAATGAGTAATTGCCCATAGGCTCTCAGAACAAATGGCAAAAAAAAAAGAGAAGCTGAAAGTCCATAAATCTCAGAAGTTCTGCATCAAACTATTTGACTAACAGGAATCTGTATCAAAGAATCATACTTTGACGTGTGTGCGAGAACCAAGGAGTATGAAATAGAAGGGAGATACAACTGACGCGGCCCGCCCTACCATATGATTATGCATGCTTTGCAGACGGGTACTCCATTTGTATAAGAAAATTCAGAATAGGACATTGTATACGCGGTAATTGTGCATTAGACAAATTAGACATATATTTCTTATTCAAATGAAGTACCGTCTGCAAAGCATTTATAATCATATATTAGGGCGGGCCGCGTCAGTTGTATCTCCCTTCTATTTCATACTCCTTGGCGAGAACCTTTAAATGGGAGCGGATGATTTTACAACATTTTGCTTTTTTAAGCCTTACATCCTATACTAATATCGATTATATTTTAACAGTGCACTACTTTAAACAACTTTATGTTAAACAACTTTAATATTTTTTAGGTTATTGCTGAAATGACATATTTTAAACATTTATTCTCTACAAGAGTACAAATGTGGAACATAAAAACATATTCAAAATTTGTTTGTATGAAGGAGTAAAAATGTTTGACAAAAAAAGAGGATTTTTTATTTTTAGATTTATATTTTTTCCAATTTTTGTGAGTTTTAAAAAAAATGATCTTAAAAATCTTTAATTTGCAACAACTTCAAAAACATTTCTTAAACATCTTAATTTTGGAAAATGTTCTTAATTTTGTTATTGATTTTTGGCAATATTTGTTAAAAAAATCTTAAGTTTAAGAACAGCGTTCTTAATTTGTTTCGGGGCCCAAATATATGTATTATCTAGTTTCTATAAAGCTGGTTATCAATGATGTATCCTGGATACCAAATATATGTATTATCTAGTTTCTATAATGGTTATCAGTGATGTTTCCTGGATACCAAATATATGTATTATTTAGTTTCTATAAAGCTGAGACGGTTATTAATGATGTATCCTGGATACCTAATAAACACTATTCAGGTTAGAATTCATAGCTGTTGTTTCCGTCAAACCCAAAATCAACAAAAATTCTAATAATAATTCAAAAGGCTTCTTTCTCCGATTTCTCCCTTAATAACTTAATCTAGGTGTGTATGGTTTGCTTAAACTGACCCTACCCCAGCTACTACCAGCTAGTCTACAGAAGGCGATTGTTCTTGATACAGATGTCGTCTTTGCTACAGATATTGCTAGATTGTGGGAGCTCTTTAAGAACTTCAATTCAGAACAGGCAAGCGACTCAAAAGAATTGTTTAGAGCAAAATTAGTCAAAAGATAAATTGAATTAGATAATCAGACCACACGTTGATATTCAGAGAGTTACACACAAAGGACGGTTTTGTGGAATCAATTCAGCCATTTTGTTAATTCCCTACACCAGCATAAGCGTTTCCGTCTTTGCCAAATAATTTAGCATAGTCGTCGTTATATATATATATCAATACAATGAAGATTATTTTCGATTTCAATATTTCTACCAAAAATTCAGCAGCTTGGATAATCATATATATATAAACAAAGAGAAGCTGCTAATTAACAGCTTCTAATTAACAGCTTCTAATTAACAGCTTCTCTTTGTAGTAAAATAGTAATCTCTTAATTTGAAAAATGCTAGTTAGAAATCAAAACTAAACTTGAATAGCAAAGTCGTCTTCATTGAATTGATATAAACCCCGGCCACTGTACTATTGAAAGCCTATATTAAAAAATAAAATAAATCGACCATCATATTTAAAATTTACAATGCGTACAAATATTAAAGATATGAAGATTTTTTACATATATTTTTTGTTTAACTGACTTGCAATTGCGCCAATTGGTGTTTATTTTTATTTTCTTGTTGAAACCTAGTTTTGTCTAATCAACCATGTTCAGTTTAATAATTAATTTTTTTATCAATATTTAAAAATCTTTTAAAAAATAATGCTCTTATGTGATGCAGGCACTGGGTTTGGTAGAGAACCAAAGTGATTGGTATATCCCAGGTAAATGTTTGGTTTATCCCAGGTAAATGTTTGGTATATCCCAGGTAAATGTTTGAAGACCAACTTGTTTGAGAGGGATATCAAGATAATTAACTATTGATGCAAGAAACATTGTTTGGTCTCTATAGCTTAGCCCACTTCTTACGCTGAGGGATGTTGTTGCCTCCACTAGTCCTTCTAGTGAGATATCTTTCTCAACTGTAACTAGAGTTGAACCTTTCTCAATTCTTCTCTTTCTGGAAGTCTCATTTAAACCTATTTAAAATTGAAGATAAAGAAAACATTTCAAATAGTTTAAAAGTTGCTTTTGCAGCTTGCCAAATGTAATTCTGATAAGATTGGTATTTAAAAAAAATATGTAATGCAAATTTTAATATATGTACCTGAAATAGATGTATTTGAAGGACCTGCTAGGTTGACTTCTGATACAAATGTTTGGGTTACATTATGATCATTGATGTCAGAATCATCACTATCATCATCATCGAATGGTGACTTTGCTTCTTGCAGTGACAAACCTTTATTAACTGGGGCAGGATCATATAAGATATCATTGGCTTCATCTGGGAACGGATCACAGAAACCTTCTGCGGCAATCTTCTTTCTATACTCATCATGCCTCCTATACTTCTCAGTTCTTCTCTTGATAACTTCCTCAATCTCCATATCACATTGATGGCTTATCCCCATTTTCCGAGGAGATCTTTGATCCTGCAAAAACTGCATATCCTCCATGATACTCTCCTTGGATCTTGGCATAGACTTATCATTTCTCAGCATTTGTTCAAAGTTGGGCGAGGCAATATCAAACAACCCATTCATCATATCCATAAACTTTTGAATATTAACTTCATGTGCTGGCTTGGTTGTTCTCTTCTTCAGAATATTTTGTACCTTCCTAAGATTATTCCAATGTTTGTGTAATTTCTCAAACGTAATCTTAATTGACTGCTCTGTGATGATTTAACTTCCAAATCCGCAAGATACCCAGATGGTTACAATCTTCCTAAGCACACATTCTTCTCCAGTAGCTTCATTGCAGGGTCCATCAGAACATTTACAGATCATGTCAGATGTATTCCTAGCTATGGAACAGGAAAAGTTGTTTCTTGTAGATTTAAACCTGACACTTTTGCCGCTGATTACATACTGGAAGTAACTTAGTACTGTTCCATTAGTTGGCAGTTTACTTGAACTGATGTTTGACAGAGGGGATTTCATCAAATAAAGTGGTCTTCTTTGACTGTAATTCATGACACGGTGTGGATGAAGATCAGTTTTCCACTTTTTATTTGGTCCCATTTTTGTTAATTTCTCTATTAACACAAGTTTTATAAATGGTTTACATAAACTGAACATATTTCATCATGTTTTTGTTCAAACTCGTCAAAATCAAGAAATTTTCTGAAAAAAGCAGACACTGTTTCCACCTGATGCAATGGTCCTATCCTACCAAAATTTTGTCAAAATGCAGCCATAATGCCACATCACCCAAACAACCTATCCACCCAACTTTTTTTTTTTTTTCATCTTCCTGTGTCACCCTAAATTGTTTATAGATGTATTTTTTGGTCTAAAAAAATGAAAAGAATATTCCAAAATATTGCTAAAATATCTTGCATGTCGAGAATTTTATGAAGCAAAAAATTGTTATAAAGAAAACAACTCTGATCACATTTTTTTTGACTCACCCTGTACTTTTAAGGATTTAAAGGAACTGTTCATTAATTTTGCTTAGGTGCAAAAATACAGAACTACTGTTAGTATTTACCAGTTCTGTTTCCTTGGTAAATTTTACATTCATGATATGTCTTTTGGACCATTTCCCACTTTCATATTTTGGACCATTTCCCACTTTCATATTGTGGAGAATTTTTTTATTTTTTATTATTGGAAGATTTTTTATTTTCATCTTTTTTGGAGTGGGTGGGTTTTAAAGTTCAATTGACAATTTTCACTTTGGGACAGTGGGAACCTTTAAACAGTATCTGTAAATATCCTACATTGTTTCTGCAACAAAAATATTTTAGTTTATTTTGTAGAGAAATGCTCAACATGGATATTTCATGGATATGTCCTTCATTCTTGATAATTTTCTTTAAGAAACATGAATGAATATCGACTTTTTATGTCACAAAAGAAGACCTACATCATTCTTTTAGGCAAACTGTGGAAGAACCACAGACCATGGCCGGCCTTGGGCCGAGGTTTCAATACCGGGGTGATTCTCCTGGACTTGGAGAGGTTACGTAGGTTAAACTGGTGGAGGACCTGGAGAGGGGTCGCAGAGAATAATCTGCTCACTCTGCTTTCAACTAGTCTAGCAGATCAGGATATTATTAATGCTGTAATTACCAGGTAAATCTATATATATATTCTCACTCTGCTCTCAACTAGTCTAGCAGATCAGGATATTATTAATGCTGTAATTGCCAGGTAAATCTAGGATCTTTCCAAAAGGCAATTTCCAAACTTCCCAATTGTGCAATTTTCCACAACTTTCGAAATGGTTTTCTGAGAAGCTGCAGGCCTCAATATGTGGTCGAGCGGTGTGACGAGGATGAGCTAGGGGGCCGAGTGCTGCGGCTAGGAAAGACTTGGGAAGTTGACACTTGCAAAAATGCCTTTGGGAAAGTACCTAACATAATATTCTCCTGAGATCTAACCCTCCTTATCAAAAATAATATTTAATCTCCTGGGCTGATGGTCAATTGGATCTTGTCCTAAATATTTTTTAACCCACCACTCCCACCTCCAAAATTGTTAGGCTCCGAATGGATTAGGATGTGGGGGAGGGGAGGGGTCAAAAATAGTTGTAAGATGTCCAAATTTACTTTTTCGTCTTCTCTTCTTAACTAGTATACCAAGGATCAAAAATGATGAAAAGCGAGAAGTTGATCCACCACTCCTCAACTTAAACAAGCGCTTGAGCTGTTAAACTTCGTCTACGTAGTTCAACTACTTATCTCTAAATTCATAAAATCTCGCCCCAGCTCAGGGCCAAAGATATTATTATGTAGCTATCATCACTAGATGAAGATTTGATTTGAATCTGACATTTTTATCAGAATGAAAAGTTTTACACAAAGTTTTTGATTTAGTTAATCCTTTTATCGTTTTATTTAATGTTTGTGTTATTCTTATTGTTGATTTTTTGGGACACATTTTTCATCTACGTTTTTCAGACAGGAGGGTATATTGTACCGTATTCCCTGCTCTTGGAATATTCAACTTTCAGAGAATTCTCTCTCCGACACATTATGCCTTCAGTCTACTAAGGTATTGTTGAGACCTATAAATCTGTGGAATAGGAAAACGATTTTAAGATTTATGATTTGGGATTTGCCATTCTCTGTTGTGCGCAAATGCCCCGCAAAACTCCAAAACAGAGAGAGAAGGACCGAATTTTGTAGATCCAGAAAAATAATTAAATTAGTATTTATTTAGGGTTTGGTTCATAGATAAAGATAGATTGCGCATAAGACGACATTTTTCATCTTGAAAGAAATAAATGTACAGAGATGTTTTAAGATATTCCTGTTATATAGATTAACTAGGTCGGTTGTGAACATTGGCTGCTCTTATGTCATTGAGTACTTGTGGTGTACATGAGTTCTGTAGAGAGAAATTTAAGTTAGTATAGTCCTTCTCATGTCCTTCTTCAGTGAAATATTGTTGTTCAAATAGTTCCATTCCCGGAGTTATTTTACACTCTATTATGAAATCCAATAAAACACCAAACCACCCCGCTTATCGTTGAATTACACTTTGACCCCAAGAAGTATGATTTCGTGGACTGAACAATTCTTGGTGATTTTGCGCACATAAGCTATCTATGTTTATTTATTTATCTATGGTTAGGTTAGGTTGAGACACTATCTGGGCTGAGTGCTGCGGCTAGAACAGGCTAGAGCCGAGCGCTGCGGCCACGGGTTAGGTTAAGTTATGACACTTTCTGGGCCGAGCGCTGCGGCCACATGTCTTACATTTAAGACCCTACCAGTTGCCAGTCTCTACGCAGGCATCCCACAGATATTATTTTTCTGGATCTACAAAAGTCAATCCCCCTCTCTCCGCCTCGGAACTCCACGGGGCACCCGCGCGCAACAGAATATGGCAAATGCCTTATGATTTATGATAGTTCAATAAACATGTACACGGACAAATTTTCATGAATAAGTTGATGTTAAAGCTGCTGGTGACTATTTGTTTCATATTAACATCAAATGCACATAAAATCTTAAAGGGACTGTAAGTGTAATTTCAAGTGATCCTCCATGCAAAGATGGCAATTTCCGAATTTCAATAGTACCCTTAAAAGTGTGTTCTGATCAAGTATGAATGAGATATTTCTTTAAACTGTTTGTATTCATTTGCGAAAGTGAATTTATAACGTATAAATTTTAATAAATAAACCCTATTCTCGTCCGAATAAACCTGTTTTTTAGGCTACCGTGTAAATAGGGCATTTCCATTTTTACATGGAGGGTCATTTGAAATTATGCTTACAGTCCCTTTAAATATATTCAATTTTACTTTAATTTCTAGGAGGTGAACATTGTACATTTCAACTCTCCAGATAAATTTAATTCTCAGCAAAACTACAAACAGTTCTTCATTAATCTTCATCAAACCTTCCTCCAGGGGTGTATATTCTGTTTGAAAAAATAAATGAAAAATTTAAATCATATCAATTTTTGGTAATGTACCATCTTACGGCCGGCTACCAGTATTATATAATTATAAAATATAAATATATATGTTTCCCGCCAATCAGCTGTGCTCCGGTCAGCTTGTAGCTGGCTCATCCAACAACTGTACTTTGGAAGCCATGAAATGGTACATCACCCATTTTTTAATTTAATATTTAATCTAAATAAAAAGAAATGATGAAACAAAGAAGAAAAATTAATTTAAGAAGAAAATATTTAAAATCAAAATATAGACAATAAGATAATACCCATGGGCCCAAAAAAACGTTTGATTTCATTACAACTCAACAACCCTAAAAAAACGTAAATTAAAAAAAACTTTTCTTTTCTTTTTCTCCTATACAGAAACTTTTCCCACTGAATCTATTTGGTTTTCACACTTTGTTTAGATGCACCCGTCTTCTAGAATTATTCTAAATATTTATCCTTAACTACAGGACCCATATTTTTTTCCTTCCCTTTGTTTCCAGCAACCTGACTCAGTTCCCGATTACTCTCTGCGCTACTCTGTCGTTTGATCGTCTTCATGTGTTAGGGAAGTGAATATAAATAAATGGTTTGTTCGGCATTTTAACATACATGGGTTATTAAAAACGTGTGGATAGTTCTAAAATGTTACAGTGCCTGGAAACCTGAAGAGCTCATTATCTATTATTTTAATTTTTACTTATTATTTTTGTTAAGTATTATTTGATGAAACCTTACTCTCAAAAAAGTGCCCCCCTAAAAATACTTAAAATGAACGGGGGGGGGGGGACTTTAAAATTGATGTTTTAGTCCAATGGCTTTTATCCCCCCCCCCAAAAAAAAAAGAATTTAAACTTACAAAATAAATTTTTTCCACTGACTGTTAGCGAAAAAAGAAATACTTACTCTACCTAATTTCTAATCCACATTAATTTAATGATCCATCTCATTTCCGAGTTTAGAGAACTCACTTTAATCATCTAATATTTTGCTTGATCAGAGGGAGTTGTTAAAAAGTGGAAAGGTCCACTCTCCCTCTCTCTCTACCTCACTGATTATGAGGCTGTCAAGTTTTTAGAGTTTCACCAGGAAAACAGACCATCTATTAGCTAAATAGCACTAGTGCGAGAAAGGGTGTGCAACCATAACAATTTGTAATCATCCCTCAAACAAATTGCTCGCAGCAGGTGCACTTAGCAATTTGTAGCATATACCACAATTAATTGTATTCACTTAAGATTATTAAGTGAAAATCTTGTTTTACCAGATAATATTGTTGAGGATGCACTCCCCCCCCCCACCTCTCTCTCGAGTGCCTAAATACTGAATCACTTTAAAATTTGTTGGAACCCACTTTGTTGTCTCATCTCATACCTTGCTAGGAGTTGTCTTCAAATGTACAGACTTTTATGATCCCTGCTACACATTTAAAATGCCCACAAAGTTTTTTTTCTACATTTTTATTTGTAAAAACATTTAGTTAACATTTTTTTTATACTTTGCCAGCAATTTTTTTGTTCCCTTTGCATAAGATTAACAAATTATAGCATAACATGGCTGTTTTACTGTTATAGTCGTCAAAACTGTTAAGTTCCAGAACAAATATTGGATACCATATTGTCTTCAAGGCAAGGGCATTTACAGAATTTAATGGGGGGGGGGGTGCATTTTCTGTTAACAAATTCGAGTTTTTCAATTACTTTATCTTTGCAACCTGATAATTACACTATTGATATTTCCAACTTAGAATATTTGTGCTAATAGCGTTCTTAGTTTAAAGTATCAAACGTCTACGACATTTGCTTGCAAAGATATAAGGATTTGAAAATCAGAGTTTGTGGATAAAACTCCTCTGTGGAATTCTTAGGCTTTATATATGGAAAATACAAAAACTTCAACAGAACAGGGGGGGGGGGGTCTTTCAGAAATCCCCTGGACCCCATACCACTGTAAACTGCCCTTGCTTAAGGAGGGGGGATTTTATCCGATTAACTTCCTGAGAAACGTTGCTCTAAAGTTCTCTGATACTCCTTATGTATTCCTCAGTGAGATTGATTTTATTCCATCTGATGGTATTGAAGACAACCTTAATCTTCATGTTCACAATCTGCTCAAAACTGGAGGAAAAAAGGTCAGTCATGTAATTTAAAATGGACTGTAAACGTAACTTTAAGTGACCCTCCATGCAAAGATGGCAATGTCCGATTCAAAATGGCACCCATGTTATCTTTATCTTTGGAATATATTGTCGTTTGACAAGGCCTAAATTTGTTTAAGTACAAATTCTTAAATGTTTTCTTGTAGTAGAAATGCAATAGTCACAATTGAAGACAATCAGTTTTTAAGATTGTAAACATTGATATTAGATTCAGACTTGATCAGTCAAAACTTTAAAATGGTACCGTTTTGTAGCTGGTATTGTCATCTATGTATGGAGGGTCACTTGACATCATGCTTACATCCCTTTAAGCATTGATTGAAAGAATATAGGTGCAAGGTTAGGAGGTTATATTAAATAACATAACCATACTATATATATACTATACTATATTTTAGAGATAAACCGTGAAAGTTAAACGATCGTTTTTGCTTTGTTTTTCAATCGTCTATAGTTTCGTTTTCGGAAAATCGTTTTTAAAAATGACCCAATCGTTTTGAACTTTTAGAAAACGAATAACGATCGTTTTTGAAAACTATCGTTTTTATCAAAACGATTTGCGACCGTTTTTTATACGATTGTTTTTTAAAAACGATCGCTTCTGAAAAAACGATCGTTTTTCAAAAAAGAAAAATTATTGTCAATTTCGTTAACGAAGGGTCGTCGTTAACGATCGTTAATGAAACGACGAACTTTATAAAAAAAACAGTCGTTTTTAAAAAAAAATTACATGCAACTTTATTGAATGTCGCCTTACATGAAGTTAAACAGTTATTCAGGATCTAAAACTTCTTGATATTAAAAACTACTTACGTATTGTAAAAATTTTTTATGATATTTCAAGAAATACCCGTGGAAGAAGAATGGAGGATTCCATTTTTAAATTAACTAATTTCTGGAAAAAAATTGTTATCAATAGAATTGGCCAAGCTGAGCTTGACGATATTATTAATTTTATATGCGCGACCTAATTATAGAATGATTTTGTTTCTTGTATTTGTATTTATTTTGATAAATATTCTCTTACAATTTTTTTTGCCTGTTTTAATTTGTACCAATTATTTAAATTGTGTACGATCACAAAATAAATAAATAAATAAGTACACATGCCCTTCAGGTGGGTTTCCACTCTTGGTTAACGATCGTTAACAAAGGGTCGTCGTTAACGATCGTTCTCGAAACGACGAGTTTTATAAAAACGATCGTTTTAAAAACGACCATTTTTAAAAAACGAACTTTTTTAAAAAAAAAACAATAGTTTTTAAAAACGATCGTTTCGTTTTTGATTTTTCGTCGTCGTTTTCATAACGAAACGATCGTTTTAAAAAAAAATTGAAAACGTAAACAAGTACATGAAATCATACCGATCTGAGTACTTTTAAAGATTGGCTATAAGATGAGGAGGGAAGAGGGGGGAACGTGTCTTACATAAAAAGAACATGGTTATCCACAAAGGATGGGACTTCAGAGACAATATACTAAAGTTACACTGTCTGTTTCCGCATATTCATGATTTCCCGGAACTTTCAAATTATGTCTTTCTCTGCGATATAATTCAATCACTCAATTCATGACTTTATCCAGATTTAACCTTGGGATCGTCATATCTTTAGAGTTTCAAGTCGTCTTTACAGTCTCATCCTTTGTGGGTAGCCCTGTATATGCAAGGAGGGGAGGGAGGGGGGGGGTGTCTCTAGTACCGTCCTCTCCGATACTGTTTTTTCTAATATTTTTGCCTTTTCTAGGTTCTGGTTGTACCTGCTTTTGAGAGTGAAAGATACCGAGCCGATGATCTGCCAGGAATGAAGCATTTTTCCTTTTTCATTCAGGCATAAAAAATGGACTTTTAGCATCTTTTGTCGAGATATGGAGATATTTAAAATGTCCCTTTATGTTTGTCTGAGTTATAATGGAACCAAATTTTTAAATAGGTATCATTGTTGTATGAACCTAGGGGACTCGGCTTACTCAGGCTCCCGATAATCCCAACACCCGGTGCCCTTACATCCAGGGTTCAATAATAGAACAAACAGACAACCCCAGGCGTGATTGTACACGTTTCATTAGGGGAAGTACTGATAAGTGTGGCTTCCGAGGGGACCAAAATATCCCCAGAAGTTTTGTTTAATAATAAATAATAATAATAATAATATGTAGTAAAGATAATGAAGCAAAAGATATATTTTTTAAGTAGTAAAGCGACTCTCTCTCTAATTTTTACTCAAATGAAGGTTTTTGTTTTGTGAAAATGGTGGGTCATTTAAAGATTTAAAGATTCAATGGGAATTTTCTAAAAAAAAAATATTTTTCCTACATACAACATACTAACATACTAAGAAACTTATTATTCGCCTCCATTTCGAATTTTTCAATTTTAAAATCTTTGCAACCTGTTCAGACTTTTTAATCTAGCAGGATTTATTGTGTAAAAGTATTAAATGTCCAAGTTTACAAGGATATAATTATCACTAGGATTAGAAAATCAGAGTGAGTGGAAAGAAATTAGAGCTGAACACTTTAGAATGGTGGATATCTAGATTAATGCTTGATCCTCTCTTTTTCTTAATCTCGAGACTATCCTAATCTTGTACTTGTATCCAGAAAAGTGTATAAAATTCAACCAATCAGAGTCGCGTATATGAAGCCGGTAAATTTGAAATTTTGCGCGCCATTTAAGATAAAATATACAGAAACGGAAGGGACTCTCTAATTTATCCAATAAAGAGTGGTTTAAGAAGAAAATCAAATGTGTGTCCATTGGATACTCAGATCAAGTAATCGAGATTTGGGATATCTCATTCTTAAGTTTTCAGCTCAGAATTTATATACATATATTACCTCAAGCAAAGAAATGCGTTATTGAGCAGGAACCAAATCAGATCTCTTGAAACAATTAGATCTTGGAGAAATCATCTCATTCAGGTTGGTCTTGAAAATTGAAAATAAATTAGACATGTTTAATTGCAAAATGTACACAACAGAGGTGTAAATGTATATTTTTCATAAATCATAATTTGTTCCCTTTAAGTTAGGTAAGTAAATTTTGGTAAGTGTTTTATTCACTGAATTTTGGAAATAAATGAATTTTTGGGGAAAGCATATGAATGAATGAGAAGAATGACATTTTTAAATTTTTTCCCCAAATCATCAAAAATTATTTCTTAAAAATATACACCTTTTATAAAATCCTTTCAATTGGCAATTGTTAAAAAAGTTTCAAGGCGAAGTTAGAAAAAAAAGGCTTCTTTAATAATCGCTTCTTAGGTTTTTTGCAATTAGTCTTTGCTATCTTCTTCACCCTTTAATTCATAAACATGATTCTAATAATATATGTTACCCTTTGTTACAACCCTTCCGCTGAGTAACCACTCTTTCCCTCTTTTTCACCCCCTCCTTACCTTATTTCTGATTTATCATCATTGTTTTGTTTAAAATGTACACTGTACAGTGTACATCCATCAATTTATTTACAATTCTTATTCGCTTACAATGGGTCAACCTATCAAAACAACCAACTCTGGTTAGGCGGGTCAAAACTACATAGTAAATTGTGATTTTTTATTTGTTTTATCTTGTGCTTTGTAGTTGAATAAAAAATATGAATGAATAAATGAATTTAACAAGATATTTGTAGAAGCCGGGTGTGGCCTGAGGGGCATAGTGCTACGAACTTTCAAAAATGGCGTAGTTCTTCCCAGCCTTATCCTGCACAGTGGAGACTAGATTTCGAGCCTTATATAGGTAGGAAATATATTTACTACAGGGGGAACCACAACGGATGAGACTTTACAGACGACTGTACGGAATTTATAATGCAGTTTAAACTGCACCCTGCGACCGACGGGTTTCCCGACGCTCTAGCACCCTCGTACGTGAAGCGATCCGACTGGAACAGCAGAGAGCCTGCCTATACGCGCATTTTCACAAGGTTTCCCCGCCCCCCGTGACTGGCAACAAATTGCGTGCTTTGAAAAACCGAAGACATTTGCTAGCCCGGACTGGCGGGATCTGTTTTCTTATATTCAGTACTTCCTGGAACGAGTAATTCAAGACAGTAGACATAATTTAACCTTGAAATCATCATATTTCAGGTCGTCTTTTCAGTCTCATCTTTTGTGGGTATAAAGGCCCGATTTAAAAACCGTTGAACGGAATGTACTTTGTTTAAAAAGTTTAACTCTGATAATTTCTTAATGGTTTTCTGAAGTAGAAAATCACAAGTCAATTTTCAAAATTATAAACATTGACATCTAATCCAAGCTTTAAGGTTTAAAGGGTACGGTTGTGAATTGGGCATTGCCTTTTTTGCATAGATTGTCTCTTAAAATACGCTTACTGTCCCTTTAACTCTAATTTTGTTAAGTTGGTCCCCGGAATATGAGCAGATACGATCCTAGGTTTACTGGGTTTGGTTGGAACAAGGTCTCACATATCTACCAACTAAATGCACAAGGTTGGTTTTAACAGTTGGCACACACAGGGGGGGGGGCTATGGGGGCTCAGCCCCCCCCCCCCCCCAATAAACATTATTTAATCAATCCACGAAATAGTTTAAATTAATAATTTGTTAAAACCTCAACATTTAAAATTGAGAATTTAAGAGAATATAAACCCACAGTAAAATTGTTATAACTTATTTCTTTTTTTAATAAATAGGTTGTATTTATCAATATTATTTCTTTGTTCTGATATTTGAAAATGTCCGATTTAATGAACTTGAGTCTGAAAACAAGGATGTATATTTATTTATTTTGATAAACCAGTACAGTATAAACCAGTACATGATGAAAAGATGATTTAAATATGATTTAATCTTTAAAAATGTTTAAGGTTACAGCTTTCTTGTGTTACCGAATGTTTTTATTGTTCATCTCCCCCATACCCCGAGCTTAGGTGAGATAAATCAATCATCAGTGTACAGTATGTACACTGTACGGTGTACAGTATGTATAGTGTACAGTGTACAGTATGTATAGTGTACAGTGAGATCCAGATAACTCTAGAATAAGAAGACGACTTCTAGACTCAAGTTGTGACTTTAAATTGTTCAATAAACATGAGACACAGCAATTTTGCGGTGTAAACAGACACATTTTACTAAATAATAATAATGATGCTTAAACTAATACTCTTATAAGAACGTCAACTACACATAATTATTGCTTTAATGTCGTCTTCCTATTCCACAGTTTATTTTTTTTACATTAATTAATTGCAATGTAACATATTTTACTGTTCCACTCTTAAAATTATTCAATTCTAAGAATCACATTAAAACTGAAGTAAGCATGAATTTTTCAATAACAAATATTATTGTAAGAAATGTGCAATACAAATGTTAACCTTTTTTTTAATGTAATAAATAGTTTAATATTTGCTCCATAATTATAGATATTCATCGCTACCGTACCTCCAGCTCCTACAGAAGTTGTATGGAAACTCTGAAAACAGAATTCATTATGGAAACAGATGTCAAGTACCAAAAACAGGATAGTCGTTAATAATGAGACCCTGAAACAGAATTATTTATGAAAACAGATGCAAGTACCAAAAAAAAGGATAATCTATAATATTGAGACTCTTAAAACAGAATTTTTATTAAAACAGATGCTAAGTACCAAAAACAGGATAATCTGTAATATTGAGACCCTTAAAACAGATTTTGTTAGGAAAACAGATGCCAAGCACAAAAAAAACAGAAAAATCAATGAAATTACGATTCATTATTTGTTTTATGTAATTATAGCGTCAAAACCTGAAGCAATAATTTTAGAAAACTATTAGAAACAACAATCTGTATCGAACAAACTGATAAAATCTTATTGATTTATAATTTTTTGCAATCATTGTCAGACGCAATTACGCAATATACATTACAACTGTAAAATAACAAGTACACGTCATGTATCGGGATAAAAGTTCTTACTAAGCTTTAACAAGTCCTTCTCTCACCAAATGTTCCACAAATCATGATAATTTTTAACATTTATACTTTTCATTAGCTCTATAATATAATGCACAATATGTTGCCTCAAGTAGAATCTGTGTTGTCAATTTAATCATGAAATAATCCCACTGCCAAAGATAAATGTACCTACACCAGTTCCTACGGTCAAACCAATTAAAGTCGAATGTCGTCTTTGCACTTCCTACTTATAAGAATTTTGTATTTGTATTATTTAAGAATTAACTTTTAAGCTACTGTTTAAACCATTTGGTTTATCGCAACCAGATTGGTTTAATGTCGTCTTCCCGTTTTCCAGTTTTATTGTTCTGTACAGTTATTTTAATTTCAATTTACATGTAGAAATTTACGATCTCAAGAAAAATTGTTAATACTAGTTTTCTATACATTTGTGATTTTTTTTAGATACAGGGTCCTACAGAGCATAAAAATTAATGTTTAAATTTTATTATTGTAAATGTACAAGCTTTATCATTCACAAGCATTGCTTGGTATTTTGATAGATTTAAGTTTTTATTTTATTTTATTCTTTGTGGATAGCCCTGTTAGTATGTGGATAGCACTACTTACTAATGCATTAGATATGTTATAACCTAGTCTTTCTTTTATTAATAGCTTCTACTATTAAAAATATTAAATACTAGCTTTGAAACCCAGCTCTGTCCAGAGCTGGGAACTTTAGAATGGTGGATATTAGAATTAATGCTCAATCCTCTCGAGATTTAATATTTAGATCAACAAATTTTTGATTCTAGGAACGCCAGATTTGTTCGTTTTCTTGACTGAAAGGGCCTTCACTTAATTTCTCACACATTTATTTATCAATACATAGGTTAAAATAGATTTTAAACAAATCTGAACCGTATAACTACATATTTTTCTTCAGCGATTAATTTACAAAATGGCCAACGACAAATTCTTTATTTATCAGAAATTGCGGAGGTCTTGCATTGGATAGAATTTATTTTCAAGACTGTCATTGGTCAATACAATTTACGAACTTTATTCCTGCACTCTCATTGGAGAAAACAATGTACGAATATCCAAAGAAAGAGAAAAAGAGTGGATTAAGGACTAAAATTAAAAGTTTCCACAGTGGATATTCAGATTAAGCAGTCGGGATTAAAGGCTATCCATTCTAAAGTTCCCAGCTCAGGTTCTAAAAGTTATTCATCTGTTTACCCGCACTTGAACAATTTTACCGGGAAAATAAATTTTCGCTATTTAAGTCGACCTACTTAACTTAGAACCTCAAAACCAAGCTAAGAATATTTCCGTGGGTCTTCCGAGTTCCCCAATCAAAACCTGGGGCAAATCGGTCCAGGGGTTCCTGAGTTATAATCGGACAAACAAAAATTACAACTTTATATATATATATAGAAATACCAATTTTGATATCACACTTTCGCTTGTCTTTTAATGAATAACGATTATAAGGGGTGGGACGGACGCAGATAAGTTATTTTCAATGTATCATGAGTAAGCTTTTTTCTATAGAGTGTTAACTTTTGCACTTTTTTTATAAATTCTACATATCATGAAATTTGGAGCAAAAACTAGAAATGAAATGAATTTAGAACTTGGATATTATGTTTTATACTTAGCGTTCAAATCGTTTACGGCACTCTTTGTACTCCACAGTTTTCTTATATTACATTGGCAATGGGTGTGGGAATTCAATTTATTCACACACAAAGTGATTTTAATTTTGTTGTTTTTTGTCTATATTTGCTCTCAAGGTCCAAATTTGGCATATTGCAAGAAAATCAATTGGTTTTTAAAATTAAAATTTCTAGAAAAATTTTTTTCTTGCATTATGTCAAACTTTAACCCTAATAGAAAATATAGGCAAAAAAAACAGTTCAAAACGAAAGTGTTATACCGATCGTTAATGGATCTTTTTTCTTTTTTTTATTAGGATAAAAATATAGCTAAATGTAATAAAAGCAAACCTTAACTTATGAGAAGTTTCAAATATTTTAAATTTTATTAAAGCTTTCTGAAAAAGGATCCATAACGACAAACAACACTATACATTACACAATATACACGGTACAGTACACATGTACTTATTAACCCCTTTTAACCAGGCACGTTTAGACTTTTAGTTTTATTAAGAATTTATATGTTAAATTTTCAGATAAAATGTTCACACCTAAAGCAAACCTTCTCTCAGGTCGAAGAGGAGGATCAAGGTTTGAATATTTAAATATTTAAATATCCAATCAAGGGGGGGGGGTAGTGGGCATTACCCCGTGATCACTCAAAGGGCCATAATGTTTGAAGGGGTCGAAGAGGTGATTTTAAGCCGATTCACAATGATACCCTTTAAACCTTTGTCTTATTTTTATTGAAAACATGATTTTATGCTGTTAGGACAATATAGAAAGTTGCAAGAATTTTACTCAATAATAAGATAGAATACAGATTTATCTTTATCATTATTACTCAGATAGAAGGTTACTTTTGCGAATGTGATCTCCTTTTTTTAATAGAGGTTCTTCATAAATTACTTTCAAAGTCCATTGAGACAACAAATTATTAGGATTAGGATTAGGATTAGGATTAGGATTAGGATTAGGATTAGGACTAGGACTAGGACTAGGACTAGGACTAGGACTAGGACTAGGACTAGGACTAGGACTAGGACTAGGAGTATGAGTATGAGTGTGATTATGATGGAAATTTGCAAAAATAAAAAATCCTAAGACCTCACTTGATTTAGAATAGTCACTTCAATTTTGGGTTGTGGGTGTAGGGCGTCCCTAAGCATGATTTGATTTGATTTGTTATTGAGGTTGTTATTGTTATTCTTATCCTATTGTTAGTAATACTATTATTTTTATAATTTTTATAATCATTTATTTATTTATTTTTATTTATGTTATTCTTGTTATTTTTATTATTGTTTTGGTGTTTGTCCTTGTTTTTATCATTATCATTATTTACAATTCAAAAAGTAAAATAAAAACATTATATTTTCTTCAGGTCGAATACACCACTCTCAGGTTCACGTCGGACTCCCCTTCTCTCTACAAGAGCCAAAGGAAGTACTCCGTTAGCAAGGACTAATGTCATAGAGGATACAGGAGTACACATTCTAGCGTCCTTCGGGAGTTCACTTCCAGTTCTGGTTATTGAGGTAGAATTGACCTAGACATGTATTGAGCTAGTTGGCTATCGGCTAAGATTGTAAACTAACCGTGTTAGCTACTTTACAGAAACATTACCAATAAAAGCAGAAACTTGATTTTATGATTGTTCACCCTAAACCCCTTTAATTTTTTAGAGAGTATTGGCCATTAAAGGGACTATATAGTGTATAAGCGTAGTTTTAAGTGACACTTTATGCAAAGATGCAATACCGGATTTACAACGCTACCCTCGAAACTTTAATCTGATCAATAATGTGGAAGATAATGTCGGATTTCTAGGTTTAATGGTGTTTAATAATTTGCCGTAGAAATGCACAAGTCACTTTTGGAGAGAAATCAAAACTAAAAATAATCAGTTTTCCAACTTAAAAACATTGATATCTAATTCATACTTAATCAAGCTTTTAAGGGTACCGTGGAGAATCAAGAATTGCCATCTTTGCTTGGAGGGTCACTTAGAATTACGCTAACAGTCCCTTGAATAGCGAAAGTTCTGCTTTACTTTTACTTCTATGCAATGTTTCTGTAAAGTAGCGAACACTGTTTGTTTACAAGCTTAGCCGATTGTAAGCTAGATCAATACATTTTTAGGTCTGTTTGAACAGGTACATTGTAAAGAATTGAACAAAAAGTAAATTATTTTTTTCTTGGTCTTTTCTTTCTACGCTCCCATTCCTTTTAGCAAAGGTAGAGATGGGCATCATATTTGTGAACGAACAAATTTTTTGAGAATAAACGAAAATGTTCTTACACGATGGAGTCATTCAGAAGCAAACGAACGATGGAGAAAGGACTTGGATCGTTCACAGAAATAAAAAAAATTTAAACAAACGAAAGAAAACGAACGATTTAAAATTGTTCAAACAATCTTCATCGTTCTTAAACAATTTCCAAATCGTTTGTAACAACAAACTTTAAAAAAAGCTCGTTTTATTACTGAACAAACATATTTCTGAATGCGCCCATCTCTAATCTAAAGACCCAACCTGAAAAAAATCACTTAGTTGAATGAAAGGTAACAAAATTGTTTAGTCCGTATATCTTAGAATCCTGATGTCAAAAACCTTTGATATTTTAAACTAAGAATTATGACTTTTCTAACAGTCAGAAGTTTGTAATATTAAAGATGAAAACCAAAGAGAATAGAATACATATAAGAGTGGAATTTACTAGAAAAAAGTGTAAAACGGCCATTTTGTTGTACTGTTTCCATACTGCAGGTGTATTTCACATATTTGTGCTATAAAACCTTTTGGGCCCTGGAAAATCATTTTATAAAAATTCTAAAATTAATGTTAAAAGAAACCCAAGTTATGAAATAGCCTGGTTTCATAATTGACCAATGATCATTTCTCATAGACTCTATGCCTTTCACTTTACAAACGATGATTTTACGTTACGTTACTATAAATCAAATGATGCTTTTTATTCACCTAATTTATAAAGTTTATTTAACAGCTTTAAATTATATGTATTAATGTACTCTACTGCATATAATTTGTGAACATTTACATGATTTGTACACTTTGAACTTCCTTTCAGGCTGAAAGGGACTGACACAATTCATACCGAGGGATTGTCTAAATTCCACTCTAATATATATTCTATTCTCTTTGATTAAAACCGTCCTGCTGTAAAGATAAAAGGATTAGCAAATTTGAGTATTGGGCAAATGTTAAGTTCATTGTTTGTAAACGTCTATTTTTAGTATATATAGAGGACTTAACTTTGTATCAATGTAATCCAGGATGTATTCAGGTTGCAAAGATATGGGGGTTAGAAAAAGAGTTTAAGGCACGTGTTTAGTTCTTTGTTTGTAAACAGTAATGTTGTAGTAGGGAAAGGACAATGTAATCTACATTACAGTACAGTACAGTACAGTACAGTACAGTACAGTACAGTACAGTACAGTACAGTGCAGTACAGTAATGCTGTAGGAGAAAAGGACAAAGTAATCTATGATAAAAATCAATTTTTCTAGGTTTTGACCTTAGCAAGTGCTGGTGAAGTTACGGTCAGTCTGGGTGAGAATGGTTGGGCCTGGTTGGTCAGCGGAAGACGACTAGTTGTCTGGAGGTCAGTTCAAGGAAGATTTTGTTCGCAAAATTCTGTAATTTTAATCATAATCACATTTAACAAATGTCACTCTGTGGAAAATCTATGTCAAAAATACGATTGGTTTCCAACATTTTCTTTCAAGTAGATAAAGATGCCACTTTTGATTCTACAATAGAACCCTGAAGGACCCCTTTCATGAAAATATGATGCAAATTGGTACATTAAGAGCTGGATGTCATGGCTATTTTTGACAAAGTCTCAGCACTTTCTTCTACGGAATGATGGTCGATTGTTTGTTTGTTTGTTTGTTTGTTTGTATGACATTTAATAGATTCACATAAACAAAAAAATAGACATAAATCAGATCATCCAAATATGTTTATGTAAATATAGATTATAGATTTTCTTTACTCAGGGGTCCATATAATTCCATCTGATAAATCCCAAATGTTGATTGATTGATATTAGGGGCAGAATAGATCATAGATTTTCTTTACTAGGTATTCTGGTGGGGGTCGAGCTCAGTGCAGAGAATTATCCCTTCCACCATCTGATCTAACACACAGGTATATATTTTCAGGGGTATATATTTTCAGGGGTATATATTTTCAGGGGTATATATATTCTCAAACAAACATTTTAAAACAATTTTTTAGAATAAGATCTAATAGGTTTTTAAGATAATTTAAGACTTTGATTTTTCTTCGTCTATCAAAGAATCTTAAAAATAAAAATCTCGTTGTTTTTCTACAGATCTGGTCTCTGCGCTGTGTACAGTTTGACCCCTGGACAGACGCCATGCTGTCTTGCTGTATCCCCTGAGGGTGTTGTACGGTACTGGCCTAGTATTGTACATGAAGGGAGCAGTACGGAAACATCAACAGAGCTGGGGGGACAGGTTAACAATAAGAAGTTTTTAAAATTTTTTTATATAATCAAGTTTTTCACAACTCATCACGGTTAAAATAAAATGTAATCTTGCACCAAACCAAATTCATTAGGGAGGAGCTTAAGTCGTCTGATCTCCAAAGATTGAGGATAACTGGGATTATTATTATTTTTATATCAGACAATTTAAAATTATGGTTTACTAGGCTAATACATAGTACAAGCTAAAAGACCTCGAAGGAATTTCGCCATTTATGATATCAAGTCAATTTAAAACATTAAACGATAGATGGCGCTTTTGATTATTTGTACTTATTGACAATTTGTACGAAGTTCCTGACAGGCAGGTTTTTTCTTATACTAATGGTCAAATTCTTCAACGGAGAACGTAAGTGAGGCTCTTTCTATCTATATCTATCTATTTTTCTATCTATCTACCGATCTATTTATCTATCTATCGATCTATCTATATATCTATCTTTCTATCTAGTATCTATCTATCTATCTATCTATCTATCTATTTGTTACAAATATAATAATATTATTTAGGAATGTTTTTCGCTGACCTCAATTCTTCCTGCTGGATGTATTTTAGCCACCACAACCTCTACCCTTGTACTCATTCATCATGCTGGACAAGGGGTCTCTTGTAAACATTTACAGGTAGATTTGCAGTACAGTTGTACTCATTCATCATGCTGGACAAGGGGTCTCTTGTGAACATTTTCGGTACAGTTGTTCACATTCATCATGCTGGAGAAGGAGTTTCTTGTAAACATTTACAGATAGATTTGCAGTACAGTTGTACTCATTCTTCATGCCGGACAAGGGGTTTCTTGTAAACATTTACAGATAGATTTCATGCCGGACAAGGGGTTTCTTGTAAACATTTACAGATAGATTTGCAGTACAGTTGTACTTATTAATCATGCTGGACAAGGGGTCTCTTGTAAACATTTAAAGGTTGATTTGCAGTACAGTAGTACCCATTCATCATGCTCGAGAAGGAGTTTCTTGTAAACATTTACAGATAGATTTGCAGTACAGTAGTACCCATTCATCATGCTGGATAAGGAGTTTCTTGTGAACATTTACAGGTAGATTTGCAGTACAGGTGTACTACCACAACCTCTACCCTTGTACTCATTCATCATGCTGGACTCGCTGGACAAGGGGTCTCTTGTAAACATTTACAGGTAGATTTGCAGTACAGTTGTACTCATTCATTATGCTGGACGAGGGGTCTCTTCTGAACATTTGCAGTACAGTTGTACACATTCATCATGCTGGAGAAGGAGTTTCTTGTTAACATTTACAGGTATATTTGCAGTACAGTTGTACTCATTCATCACGCTGGACAATGGGTATCTTGTAAACATTTACAGATATATTTGCAGTACAGTAGTACCCATTCATCATGCTGGACAAGGGGTCTCTTGTAAACATTTAAAATACAATACAGTTGTACAAGCATGTTATGTAGGCCAGAATAGAAGTACGTGTGCTTTAGATTTTATAGTAAGATATATTGTACATTGTCTAATGTACATTTCTACAGTTAGTTTATTTTACAGTTAAATGTGCTTTACAGTTGTACAGCCATATATATGTCAAAATACATCTGTACGTTTGTTTACATTATGTTGGGGTTTATTGAATACTAAGGATGGGATATATCAAACATAAACAACCTTAGTTACTGTTGATTTATGATATGTTAATGTACATTGTACTGTGTACAATTTATATTATTGTACACAGTACACACACACAGTTTAATACTGATTCTTGCTTTGAATAAGAAGCAATCAAGAAGAAATATCATAAAACCTTGAACAACATAGTTTCCAAAATAATTTTTCTTTTATTTAGACCTCGTCAAATCTGTTGGGTGGGTTTAGTAGGCGTGTCTCGTCCCTCCTATGGGGCAGTATGGGCGGGGTTCAAGGAGAAGCCAGGCTTATCAAGGTGGTGGGAACTGTAGGTAGAGATACAGACACTAGGTAAGGACTCGTCTTCGAACTGTGAGTCATTTTTTTACATAAAAATCTTCCAAGTCATTTATTTCCATAATGATGTCTTTTTGTTTTGTTTCGAGGGAAATAAATTGTTTTTGAGGCATTATAAAATATATTATAGAATATGGAATATTTCAGGGGTTAACTGATAACATTGGATAACATTGGTCTATTCATTGTTTGGTTTGTTTGTTGGTTGGTCCGTTGGTTGGTGGGTTGGTTTGTTGGTTGGTCCGTTGGTTGGTAAATTGATTGATTGATTGATTGGCTTAATTGATTTGATTGATTTGATTGATTTGATTGATTTGATTAATTTGATTGATTTGATTGATTTGATTGATTTGATTGATTTGATTGATTTGATTGATTGTAGGGTTGTGATTGTGCTGACAGCCTCAGGACTGCAGAAGTGGATGGTAGAGGATGGTGAAACATACAAACAGATTTATGATGCTGATATGACAGATATAGCCAGGGAGAGTATGTGGAGGCAGCTGGAGAAGGATGGAGCGGAAGGAAAACCGTCCTGGCTCAAGGTCTGGACTCTAGATATCAGGAATACAAACCTTGTTAATTCTAGTCTTCAATTTCAATATTGTCAAAGTTGAATTTTTAAAGCTGGGTTCTCTAGCTAGTAGATAAAATTAACAATGATAATAATGATGATAATGATGTTACTAATTATGTGAAAATAATGATGATGATAATGATTATAAAAATGATAAAAATGATGATGATAATGATGGTAATAATGATAATGATAATGATAATGATAATGATAATTATAATAATAATGATAATAATGATGATAATGATTATAAAAATGATAATAATAATAATGAAATAATGATGATGATAATGATGGTAATTATGATGATAATAATGATAATGATAATAATAATAGTAATAAATGTCGAAATATATATTCCACCAACTATAATAATAATACTAATACTAAGCCTGAAGGTTATGTTGGCTGTAGTATTGTTGGTGAGGAGAACCTAGTTATCCTGGTAGCTGGAGTTAACAGTAATGAAAATGTGTCCCAGGGCGCATCATTCAGGGTTTACTATTCTCTACTTACAATCAAGGGAAATAATGAATGAACAAAACGAAACAAATAATTAGACAAATAATTAGACAACTAATTGAATAAGTTTATAGATAAATTAATAATAATTATGTTCATTCCTATAAATCTAAAAGATAATTACTGACGCGCCTCCAATGCGCGCTGAAGGCTGTGTGCTCCTACCCCACACTAACTTTATTGCGTAAGTTTTTTTTTATTTTTTAACACAAGTTGAATTGTAAAAATTTTCTTCATATTTACATTTTTTAAGAATGGTCTGAACCAAAAGTGATATTTGGACTTTAAATTACAAGCTTTATTATCTTTTTAATTATTCTCATCCTTGTTGACCATCCCCTACCTCCCTCCTTCCAAAAAAGAGCATACAAACCAAACCTGATAAAAGGCTGAATTTAGCCAGCAACTCCCTTAAAAATTAGTTTTCCAAGAACTAAGAAAATGTTATTAAATGCTTGAATCTGTTTCTAATATCTATTTATGTCATTGTAATGGGTCTTATTACCGAACGTAGTGAAGTGTGAAAATACTTCTATTTTGATCGAAAACAAACTAGAAAAATTTAAAATCACATCAAAAACTATTTCGCTTGCATGATACCCATTTCAATAACATATATAGGTTTATTCAGTTTTACTCAAATTATTTAAAAGCAGGTCGATAAAGTTACTTAATCACCCTGTTGTAGGGTGATAAAGTAACTTTCTCACCCTACAATGAGACTAATTAGGTATGAAATTGGTCATTTTAATAGCAGGGTGAACAAGTTACTTTTTCGCCATGTTGTAGGGCGATAAAGTCACTTAATTACTCTAAAATGGGAAATATTAGGCGTGATAAATTCCATCAAAATTGTATACAAGACTAAATGTGTTCGGGGAAAATAACTCATGTTTTTCCAATTTTTTAGGTTAGTCAAAGATTAGAAACGTATTTTTTAAAAACTATATTAAACGGGTTTTTACTTAAAAAGAGACATCATATTAGATCTTTTTAGTGCGATATGGTTGGTTAGCAAACTTACAATCCTAATAATAATAAAATAATTCAAGTGTCCAGTAAATCAAAATTGGACTGAAAAGTGCAATTTTATAAAATATAAATTTCATTAATGATAAAACGATTTTTGCAATCTATTTTTGTTGGGTTAAACTGACATACCTTCTCCCTTTTTTTTTATTAGGGGGGGTTTGTTATTTTCAACATTTTTTTAAATATACAGTGATAACCAGAAAACTCTGAACAAAGAAGACGACTTTTTGCATCATGTTTAAACTTTAAAAAGTCCAACGAGCATGACACACAGCAATTGTTCAGTGCAAAGTTGTCACTGTGAACAGAACTGAGCTGAAAACTTTAGAATGAGATATCCTTAATCCCGATTACTTAATCTGAGTATCCAATGGACACACTTTTGATTTTCTTCTTAAACCGTTCTTTCTTGGATATAGTAGAGAAAAATCAAAAACCGGTTGTTTAAAATTAGAGGGTTCCTCCCATTTCTGTATATAATCTTAAATGGCGCGCAAAATTTCAAATTTATCGGCTTCATATACGCGACTTTGATTAGTTGAATTTTATACACTTTTCAGGATACAAGTACAAAATTAGGTTAGTCTCGAGATTAAGAAAAAGAAAGGATCATACATTAACCTCGATATCCACCATTCTAAAGTTTTTAGCTCTGTTTCACTAAATTAGTGACTTGGTAAGTGTCTAGTAAAACTAGTGACAACATAAAATACATTTAAGTATTGCTGTTATGTCGTCTTCCTACTCCTCAGTTTTCTGGTTAGCACTGTATGTCATAAAGATAAAGTATACTTATAAAGTCGTCTTCCTATTCCATTATTTTCTGGTGATCACTGTACTTAATGCTGTTTAGTGAGGGTGAGGATCCTGCTGGGATGGAGATGATGTGTGTTGGTGGAATATGCTTTCTTCTTAGCGGTCAGATCATTCTACCAGTCAATATTCAGGGATACATTCATCCTTTCATCCTTTCATTCTTCCTTTAATTCATTCATCGTTCTGTTCATTCATCCTTTCATCTGTTCATCCTTCTTAGTAGTCATATCATTCATTCATTCATCTTTATTTTCATCCTTCCTTTCATTCATTCTTCTTATTCATTCATTCATTCATTTACCTATTCATCCTTTCATTCGATCATCCCTTCATTTATCGTTCCTTTCATCATATTATTCATCTTTTAATTCATTCCTTCATTTTTTGATGATGTTTTATTTTTATTTAATAGCTCAATGAAATATTGAACTTTTTGACTTAATTTAATGAATGAAATCTCAGAGTGGAGAACAGCTACCAAAGATTTCTCTGTCCTCTGGAGACTCTGTTCTCGGTACAGGCGAGTTCAATCGATCATTCGATAATAAATCAATCAATCAATCAGCTAGTAAATCAATCAGTCAATTATTCAGAAATTGAATCGATTAGTAAATTAATCAGTCAATTGCCAATAAATCGATCAGTCTATCACACAATTAGAGAAATTTTTTATCATTCAATCAATCAAGCGTTGAATTAATTAAATTTTTTAATCTCAATTACCTAACCGCTGTGAATTCTTTATTGCACTGTTTAAATATAAGTCGCAATCAATATTTTTGACATTTGAAAGATTAAATAGAACTTATATTGGTGTTTCTAGGAGATAACGGCGAGTTTCCTCTTCTGTTCACAATACCCTACGGAGTTCTCAGTATAACTCCTACTCAGGTATAGTTGAACTGATTCAAAGTTCAGATAAAGCAGGACGGATTCAGGGTGCAGGTACAGTGGAATGGAGTCAGGCTTTACAGAAAGTGGGACAGATTCAGGGTTTAGATAAAGCGGGACTGATTAATGGTTAAGATAACGTGGGACGGATTCAATTCCCCCCCTCGGCACTCGGAAGAATGATTTTGATGCTCGGGGTAATTTTTTTTGCGATTTAACGAATTAAACCATCATAAAAATTAGAAATAAAATCTCGGGAAAAATGATTTTTAAAAAAGGGGAGAAAGGGTTATTTTTTAAGTAAATCTGCTTTTTTATAGAGTGGAGTGATTCAGAGTTTGGTTCTAGAAGGTTCTGTCCAAAATTTGCCAAAGTTTAAAATGGTTTTGCATTCTTAGCAACTTCCGGAAAGGTTCTTTACAACATTTTCGTCACGGAATTAATCCGTAAAAGATTGAAACCAATACACCGAATTATCAATTTGAAAAAAAAATATATTAGAGATAAATTTTGTTCCAGGGTGGGATGAGAAATGAGAGTTTAAACCTAACAGATAACCTTCTTGATAAATCCTCATCAAAACTCTCAGATTCGTTAAACATTTCGGTATCTGCTCAGGTAGGGATTTATTTTTATTTAGTCTGAGGTCAGAATATTTAATTCATTCATAGTTTTATTCAACTACAAAGCATGAGATATAACAAATAAACAATCACAATTTACTATGCAGTTTGGACCCGCCTAACCAGGGTTCGTTGTTTTGAGTGGTTATTGCGATAAGCTAGAAATTCTTTATTCTAACAACTTGATACCATGTTACTTTTTTGTTGAAGGGGTTTATTTAGATTTATGAACATTTGTTTTTTAAGCCTTAGAACATTCGAAACGGATTAAGCCTTTATAAGATTTACTGTAAAAACGAAAAAAATCTATTAAATTTACATTTTCATCATCATTTTTTTATTCTCAAGTTGTTAATGTTAAGGGCCTGGAGACCCTAACCATGTCTGAGTCTAAAACTGATCAGCTGAAGGTAATCAATAATCATTCATCAAAAAGATCCCTTTAATCCATAAATTGAATCCACTTAATCCCTTACTTTTTTGTATAGTGTTTACCTGGATCCGGAATTGGGTCTCAATGGAAAAATATCTACCAAAAAAAAACTTTATTCTAAGAATCCCTGAATAAGTCTCAGTTAAAAATTTCCAGGATTTTATTAATTCTTTGCTAATTATGTGCCATTTTCCCATTCATAGTAGTGAGTAAATAGAATTTAAAGATTTTTAATTCTTAACTTTTCTAGGCTGCGTTCCTATTATTCTGTAAACGTTCCAAGGGCCAGGCGGAGGCAATTATTCAGGAACTGTTCCCAGAGGAACATGTGGAGCAGCTTGACTCCGCCCTAGATCGACTGGTTCTTTCTCTTTCAAAGGTAGGTGGGGCAGGAAACCCACGCCCATTTTCTAGTTATTCATTAAATAACTTTTGCATTATAACAACTATTGAATTAAATAACATACTGGACTGATTGTTTGGTTGCTAGTTTGATTTATTGATTGCTTGGTATTTTTGGTTTATTGATTGATTCGTTGGTAGTTTGAATTATTGATTGCTTGCTTGCTTGGTTGGTAGTTTGATTTATTGATTGCTTAGTTGGTAGTTTGATTTATTGATTGCTTGCTTGGTTGTTTGATTTATCGATTTCTTGGTTGGTTTGTTGGTTGTTTGATTGATTGATTGATTGAGATTGATTGATTGATTTATTGATTGATTGATTTATTGTTAGCTTCTTACTTAGGACCTGATTGATGATTTCCCAGCCTCTGATCCTCGTTGGATGGAATCTGTCCCGGCCTCCCAGGCCTCCAGAACAGGAGCCTCTATGTCCCTTCTCGTTCTTCAACAACTCGAGGTCCAATTTCTGGATTTAAATTGCATCTTAAATTTTTAAGTTTGGACCTTAAAACTTTAAGTAAAGTGATTCCCCTAAAACTGTGTAGAGGAAGACGACTGTTAGACTAAAGTTTTGATGTTAGATATCTCCCTTCGTGCACAGCACATATTACTTGGCAGGCTAACCGATCAATCCTAAAATTACCTTTAAGTTATAAGAAGGATCGGTGAGAAGAGTGGAAAGCTGGTGAACATTGTGTGAAGAGACAGTCATAATAAAATAAATAAAATACATAATCACAAACATTAGATTGCTTTATTATATGAAATGTAGTCAATCCTTGGATGTTAGGTATTCGAAAGCGGAGCATGGCTCAAATTTGGTCGTGTGGCTGGGCGCTTCGCAATTACAAAGTAAAAAAAAGAGTACATTAACCTTACATCCGGAAGGCCAGACTTGAAACTCCAATCCATTACTGGAGTCCTAGGCCATCCCTGCAACTTATGATTTGATTTGATTTGATTTGATTGTCATCTTCCTATTCCACAGTTTTATGGGTCCCACTGAATGTTTTTTGGCGAAGGTTAAGGATTAAATAATTGTATTCATGCTTTGTTAGCTGATGTTTTAACTCTAGTTTGTATAACCGGATAACTGCATAAGAAATAAGTTCTAGAACGGAATTAGATGAATTTGAGCTAGGTTGCTGAACTACCTTTCCGCCGGTTCAAATATTGAATCACTAATTCAAAGTTTAAAGATTCATGATGATGATGATTCTATGACTTGGGATTTGAACCGGCCGAAGGTAGTTCAGCTACTTGGATCCACTGCGCCGCTGGAAAAATGTTTTAAGCTCCAAAGGAAATCTAATGTAAAATAGAAACCTTGTAATTCTAAATTATTTGCCAAAATTATATTGTGTTTTTTTTCCAGGATAAATTGGCCTGCCATGATCTTTACATCTCCTTCTTGAAGAGTGTAGGACTATGGAATCGGCTGTCAGCTGTAACGGTACGGGGCAAACCCATGCCAACTGCGCTCAGTCTTAGCGAGCATAATGAGAAGAATATTGCCGCTGTAACTCTTAGGTAGTGTATAATAAAAGGGGTATATATTTTTGAATACAAATATAATTTTTTTTTTTTTTTTGGGTGGGGGGTATTTGATTTAATTAACTTTTATCTTGGCATATCAAACTTGAATTAATCAAGCTTAATTTTGATATGACTTGATTTAGGAATTAGGGCTAATTCAGGACTACTCTTAGCTTTAATTTGGCTGTGTACGTTTTGATCCGATTTGACGTATTTTCCTTGGAATTCCCCCCTTAAAATCAAATCAAATCAAAGGAAAGAGTCTTTGCCACAAACTCTGATTTTCTACTCCCTATACATATGCAACCTTTTTGTTATTATTATTATTATTATCATTATCATTCACCTTACAGCCATTTTATCATGTCCGGTAGGCTGTGTTACGTTGAGCTCCAGGGTTGAGTTCCTCGCCACTCCCCCAAACTATGAGTTCTGTTAGATCACATAATCTAAGTCTGAATTGTCAAAGGTTGCCTAGCTCTAGGAATGAGAAAATGTGAGTTTGTGGCAAATCTTGAGTTCTTTTGCAGATAAAAAAGAAATATTTTTTAACTTTGTCGCCTGATCCAAGTTGGTTCCGGAAGAATCTTAGTCTACTATATTGTAAACTAATTGTGTATTTGTTTGTCAAGGAGTATACACATGGATCATATCAAGATGATGGATGTTTGTATGAAGAGTAGTTTAGATGATAGAAATATTACCGCTAGTGGGAGTCTTACTTCTCAGGTAGTTACAAGATCTGACTCCACTTGACCCTCTGAACTTTAATACACCTCTGATCTTTTTCCTCTGACCTCTACTTGACCCTTTGACCTTATATACACCTCTAATCTTCACCCTGTGACATCTAGCATAATTTCGACTCTACTTGACCCTTTGAACTTTTTATATAGATCTAATCTATACTCTCTAACTGCTAAGCATTGACCTTTAATCTGACCCCTGACCTCAAATGTACTGTTTGACCTGAAATGTACTATTTGACCTGAAATGCACTGTTTGACCTTAAATGTACTGCTTGTTGACCCCTCTTATTGTACACTGTTCAGGATCATTTCTACCGTGAGATCTCTAGAATTGATGATATCCTGGATAGTTTTGTAAACAATATTCAACACTCAATCAGGGAACTGGAAACTTACTTAAAAGGACGTAATGTAATGTGGCGGCTCTCTAATAAAATGTCCAGTTCAAAATAATTTCCTTAACACGTGTTGAGTTTCCTTCAATATTTGATAAATCCGTAGGGCACTTTTTGAGAGAACCATCAGTTTTAGAAGACACAAAAATATCATTCATCCTCGACAAGAAACCCCTTCAAGGGTACCATTGTGAACCGGACATACCATTTAATGAATAGAGGAACGACTAAAATTTAGGATTAAAATCATTTAATATGTTAGAAGAATGGTTGAAATCAACTACTGTGAATATTTTTTTTGACACTCTTTAATTAAAATCTTATTTAAAATAACCCCACAATATCTTGAATAAGATTTATAAAATTTGAAGATATAACAATTCCAGGAAGATACTGTGGCCCAAATAGATTATCAAGTACAATAGGTGGCAACAGAGAAATGGATCAATTATACACGACGTCACAAATGTCAAATATAACAAGGTTAAAAAAATTTCTCACAATAGTTGACATATTTTCCAAGATAATATAAAAAAGTGTAAAAACAGAAATAAAGAACACATAAAATTGAACTTATTTTACTGTAAGATAAGCAATTTATTCTAAAATTATCACTATTATTAATAATTTTACTTACTTGTTTACTTACTTAAAAACTGAGTTGGCACTTGTGACGTAAGAATACAGCTGTACTGAGAGTGTACAAATTCTACGTTGCCATATATTGTACTAGAATCTATTTGCTGTGGCCAAGGTCTAAAGGTGCTGGATGGAATTACGCGAACAAACTCTTAAATATGATTTATAAAGTAGTCCGTGCAATAGAAAAAAAGCTTGGTAAAAAAATTGAAGATGTAACAATTCCAGGAAGGTACTGTGGCCAAGGTCTAAAAGCAACTGCTGTGAATCAATCACTAAAATTACGCGAACAACCTCTTACTTAAGATTTATAAGTTTCCAAACCTAATGTATGGTAGATGTGAGAGTCCAAGTGAGCTGTTGAAGAGCATTGTCTCCGTCAACACCTTGGTCATCAACATGCTCAAGGCGGTGCTGTCCAGCAGGAATATAAGCACAAACAATCTATATATTCCGCTTGTCAATCTGTTTCTTTTTTTGTATCAAATAAGGTGTATGGGCCTTCAGTTGGTTCGTGTTTTGGGTTTTTTTTTGCTTATATTTTCTTTCAGGTTCAAAATTTGGCATAGTGTAACAAAAGCAACTGTTTTGTTTGTTTTTTATTAACATTTGCTTTTCTTACACTCTCTGACTGAAGATATATGCAAAAACGATCCAAAAACGATCCAAAAATTCGATGCAAAAACGATCCAAAAATTCTATGCTAAAAAGATCCAAAAATTCGATGCAAAAACGATCCAAAAATGATCCAAAAGCGATCCAAAAGCAATCCAAAAGCGCTCTAAAAGCGATCCAAAAACTATCCAAAAACGATCCAAAAACGATCCAAAACGATGTAAAAACGATCCAAAAACGATGCAAAAACGATACATAAACGAAATTGTTGTAATGATCGTTTTTCCTTTTTTATGATTAAGATATTGCAAAATTTAAGAAAAGGATAGGTTAACATAATACAGTTGGAAATCTTCTAGTTTTATAAAAAAAGAAGAATTATCGATCTGAAACCAAGAACAGCACAAGGTGTATCTCTATTTTGCTTTAAAATATAAAACTATGTTAAATAATTATCACTGATATCGCATGTTTTTGGGACACCCTGTGTTATAAAGATTAAAAACATTGTTATAGAGTTCTTTATTTCAATACCAAGTATATACTTCTATTTCTTGGTTGTTTTATTAACGTGCTGTATTGATCAGGAATAAACGTATGGGGGAGTATACTACTACAGGGTTTGCTGCTTCATTAGGTAAACAAATACACAAAGTAATCATTTCTTTTAAATCTTGGGTTTTTTACTTTTCTTGTGTGTCGGGGGGGGGGGGGGAATATTAGAAATAATAAGAATTATAAATGCTTGCTTCAAAATTACTTGTTACTTAATACTATTTTTTTAATATGAAGTTAAATAATTCTAAATTTGTTGTAAAAAAGATAATTATTTTTTTTTTTTACTAGAATACTATCCCTGGACTGCTGAGAGAAGAAGTCAACTGTCAGCTCTACTCAAACTATCAATCAGTCATGGATATAAGGAAACCTCTCATACTCTGCTTAGTGCTTATACTTAGAGATGGGCATCGCTTTGAGCTCCGTTTTTAATCGTTTAGGGGGTTGACGCTAAAAGTACTCCACAAGATAGTGTGCTATTTATCATATTGCAAATGTGTTTTTTCAAGTTTGCTTTTATTAAAATACAAAAAAAATTTCCTCTCATCAACCAAAACTATTTTTCAAACGGATTTTGTAAAAAACTTTGGTCCAAGTAAAAAAATTGCTTTTTGTAATAAGAAAAATTTGGCAAGCATGCAGTTTTGAAGTAGGATGTACAACTAAGAATCTTGTAAAGATTTTAGAAGTCTTAAAAATTTGAATGTTTGAAGTGAGACCGGTTTTCAGAATTAGTTTATTTAAAATTATTAATTAACGACGACATAAAATGTAAAAATATTCTACAATAAACTACAGAGTACAGACGTCATGTAGAGTAAAATGTTGAGAAAATAAAAATTAATCTTATCATCGAAAATTAGTAATCTTGTTCAATTATTAGTTTCTATTTTCTCATTATTCACAAAGGTTTTCTGCAGATTTTCTTGAAATATTATTGAAAAGACGACGAATAAATTCAAAGAAAATAAGAAATTCAATATAATAATGAAAACAAAATAATCGATTTTAGCATTGATTTATTGACAAATTTCTTTCGAGAAATATGTTTCTAACCATCTAATTAGATACCTCTATAATTATTTTTAAAAAAAAACTATTTCCACCCCCCAAAGTAGGAGTTATGAACGTCGAATTTGCGCTCAAACTCAGGATTTACAAATCTTTACAAAGTTTAATATGTCTCAAATGAATCCGAAAGAAGTTTTCCACAACACTGCATACTCAGTTCAACTAGCTTACATAGCCGGTCACTCCCTTTAAAGCTTATTAGAAACTAGTTAACTTACAACCGAAATAGAGTGTGGAATGTTGATGTTACTTTAAGTTACCGTTTATTTAAAGAGTTATAATTTACATGTTCAATTCACGCCAGTATCTTGAATAACGTTGCACAAGCAACACTGAGGTGGATTTCGGTGTTTTGTTATTTTGAAAGATGAAAAATCCTGCCAATTTCCTTCCTTGTGTTTGCAGCTTTGTCCACAAATCATGCATTTTTACAGAGAACCCACAATTCAAGATTTTAATTTTTACCATTATCTTAGTAACAATGAGGAAGTTATTGTTCTTTTTAATTTAGGTAAGAGTTCTGTTAATTTCCTTAAAATTCTGCAGAAACTGAAATTTTAACATAATGACATCTCTATCATATTTGTGAATTAGACTTGAATCCCTATAAATCAACCATAAAAATTAAACTTTTCCTTCCCAAATGAAGTTTCTTAGACATTCTAAAATCCTTCATTAATGAGAGGTTTGAATATTAGTCAGCTGAAGATGCAGCTGAACGTGTTAGGATAGGTCAACAAATCCTTGATCTTGCAGATATCATCCTTGATGGATACAGGTATCTATAAATAAAATCTCTGTTTGTCTGTTTTTTGTTCATCCTATCATAGCTCAGGAACCCGTGGACCAATTTGCCTCACATTTTTTATTGGGGAATTTGGGAGAGCCACGGGAATTAGCTTAGCTTGGTCTTGAGATTCTGAGTTAATTCGGTTGACTTTTATTTCAAAAATTTAGTTTCTGGGAATAATTTAAGAGTGGGTAATCTGCGTAAACGGCAGGCGTAACTATGAGAAACTCCGGAAACACTGGATTCCCAAGTTAGTTTAATGGAACATCTTGGACTCGGATGTAATGGGGTGATAGTCAATTTCACCATGGAGTATGTGGTCCTAATAGGCCCCTCCTTTGAGGTTAACATCTCAAAAAGAACAGGGGGTGACAAATGATTCACTATTAACATAATAATAAATCAATTGAATAATAGAAACAGCCAAGCAGCTGTCTAATTATTAGATTATTATGAAACACTTTATGAAATATCATATTTATTAATTGTCCATTTAGGTTATTATATATTGTCCATCAATGATCAATGTCTAATGTCCATCTACAACATTCCCTAATATTGAGAAACTTCCATATACTTGCTTTAGGAGTCAAGTATACAGTGTGGATGGAGAGCAGAGACAGGTCTTGAATGCTGAGTATATCAGGGAGAGGGAGCAGCTGATTCAACCATTAGTTGACCTCAAGCTATATGATCAGGTATATGAACTGACCAAAATAATGGCTCTTTATGGTCAAGTCTGACCAATGGCTCAACGCCTAAATCAAGGTTAAATCCCTTAGTCTTGGTACTTAATGTGAGGGAGTCACTGGACAATCCTTAGCTTCTTGAATTGAAATAAATTGGGAAAGATATTTTTCTATTTATATTTGCATCAATTTTCAAGAAAGGGTAAACTTTGAAGTGTCCAACACCTCAACCTTTGATTTCACCTCGCTAACTAACTTTTACTTTATTTTAGCACTAGACAAATACATTTTAAAACTAGTTAACTTACCTTTAGCCTTAGGTTTTAAGAAGTAAAATTGGCAAATCTCTCATAGATTTTTTCGTGAGAGACAGAGACCAAAATATGAATCTGCATCAAAATTTAAATGATTACTATGCATTGATTGTAATAACATATAAAATTCTTAATGAACAGGCGGCCAGCTTGGCAGAGAAGTACCTGGAGTTCTCAGCACTGGTCAGAATCTGTGAGGAGACAGGGAACAAGGATAAGCTAGATGAGTATATTAGGAACATCTTCAATCTAATTTTATAGTTTCTGTGTCAGCGAATTTGTGAGATTGTTTATTTGTTACCTTTAGATATCAGAGAAAATGGACTGATGCTGGTTCATATTAAAGATGACCTCCTAATTTTAAAAATTCACTGTTTAGTGTTTAAAGCTATCAAAACTATGATAATTTTCATGTGCTATAAGAGGAACATAATTACGTATGTTGTGAAAATATGAATGCTTAATTTATTGGGAAACGGGATTAAATGTCTTAACACAATATTGCCCAAAATAAAGATAAAACCCATATATGGGGAAAAGTCAAATGCATAACATTGAATCTTTACTGTTATTCTGAAAAGCTTGCTAGTCAAGATAAATTAAATTGATTGAATGATATCCTCAGTGAGTACTCAGAGCATAACTTTTCCGAGTTTGTGTTCTCCTGGTATATGAAGGAAGGAAAGCAAAGCAGACTACTTGCTTCAACTGGAAGTAGCAAGGAACTTGGAAGGTAAATGCAAATATCATAAATAAAAATGTCACCAAGGAGTATGGTGGGAATTTGTAAAGAATTCGGAAGGTAATAGGTAAATATCAAAAGTACGGGACTTTGAAGGTTAAACTTATTACCTAATCATCAAATAAGTAAATAGAGTAAGGAACTTAAAGGGAAGTTTGTTCAGTGGAGGTGTAAAAAACATGTTTGGGTAAGCCCATACGTTTTTAAATAGAGAAGATAAAATTTCTATTCTGAACAAATTATTTTCTTCTTTACAAATTGCATAAAAACTCAGAAGGTATGTCAAAAAAGTTGTATTATTATTACTAATATAATTAACACTGTTTCTTATTCTTATTTTTATTAACTGCCTCCATACAATTTTAATGAATGCATTTTTCAACATAACAAGCCTGTTTCTACTGAATAGAAAATTTACCATAGGCCGAATTTAAAGAATTTGAGCCGTGGCTTAAATATGGTTGGTTTTTACTTTAAATTGTATTCAATGTCTCAAGATTTATGTCGGCGCTCAATTGAAACTGGTTTTTGGCGGATTTAAGACGAGGCTCAAATTCATTAAATTCGGACTCATGAGGCTTTGCAATTTACAAACTCAATAATGCTCTTGATCAATAGTTTACTGTTTTCCAAGGGAGTTCTCTGTTTAAAAGTACTTTAATATAACGATCTTATTGTTTGCTGGGTTCATACACATATTTCAGTTACCAATTTACATTCAAATATGGTGTCCATTGTTGAAAAAATAATCAAGTTTTTGACAAAAATCTTACTGATTCCTGTCAGCTTCTGTGATGATGGTGGATACAACTTTAAACTACTATCTGTTAGAAATCTTCTTTGTCTTATTGTTTATGCAATCATTCCCAGTTCCCTCATGGCATACACTCTCTTCGAAGATATATTACTGATTATTCAGCAGGATTTTGGTAGCTACAGCTTTGCTAAAGGCTCAGCTTTGGCACTACAGATATTCATTCAAGCTGAGGACATTTTCCTGTTGTTTTTGATTCCAATCAGTTTAGGAAATCTTTTTCAAAAGTGTAGAGATCTTCTTACTGAAAAAATGAGTAATCCAAAACGATATTTTGAACTAATTGTGTTAGGGATTATCAATGTGATGTTTTTGTCATTTTGGATCAAAGAGGGAAGTGTAAAAACTCGCATCTTTTTCTCATTTGGTTACTTTATCTACAGTCTCCAGTTCAATATCCAAACTTTGATTGTCAATACATTGACGAGCACATTTGTTAGACAATGTCACAAACTGACATCAACAACAAATGCTAAATTATTGGTTTTAGAGACGGAAATATTGGTTGACATTTTCAACAAACTGAAGGAAGGCTTAGGACCTATCTTGTTGTACAATTATATCAACTCAATGGCCAATTTAACACATTTTGCATTCCAACAGACATCTAATTCAAATGTCTCTTTCTCCTTTGCGATCTTGTTTATGTCTATCATTATATGGAACCTTTCCTCTTGCTGTCAAGAATGTTATGAGGAGTTGCAATCAACAAAGGCTGTTCTTAGGTAATTTATAGAGGATAAAACATAGCATTTAAAACTCCTAACGATTTGAAATTTAGAGATGCAGTTAGATACACAAAGAATAAAGAACTAAGAGAAGAACTAAAGTGGGGTAAGAAAAAGCACACTTTCCATCTTTTCAAAGTTTCATCATTGCTATCTTTTAGCTTGGCTCTCTGTGGAGACTGAAACGGAATTTACAGCTATGGGTTTATTTATTGTGAAAAAGTCAACACTGGTGACAGTGTACAGTACTATACTTGGATATTTCATCATCCTTGTTCAGTTCAAACAAACAGATAACTCAACGGGCATGCCTTAAATCCCAATTGAATGTGGAGAAAGTTAAACAATTCAAATTTCAATAAATGTTTCATTTTCTGTCATATTTTTTACTTATTTTACAGTTTGAGTAATCATGCATAGCCAATTAAAGGTTTCTCACAACCTGAGCTAAAAATGTTCACATGACACTGATGGCATTAGCCGCCAATCATTATGAAAGATTAGTCATGTTTTGTTCTAAGTATGAGACCTAGAATAGGACTGTGAATGGGGTGGCGCAATGTTATAGTTCAGATAACGTTATTGAAACGTTTGTAGGCTACTATCAGTTGTTGCCACAATGAGTCATAATGTTACGACGTATTTTTATTGTCAAATAACACAGATGTTTTATCTTTGAAATAAAAGGTAATCTCTCCAAGGGTAGGCACAAGTCACGTCTTCAGAAAGATTAAAAAAGAACATATAAAAAGGTTATCATTGCCATTTTTTTTCTAAAAGAAATGTAGAGCTTATTTTAAGTTTTCAAAGTAGCTATCAATATTAGGATCAAATTAATTAAATACATACGACCATCATTGACTTTGACTCCTACAGAATAATGGTTTACTTTGTTATTATCATCATTATTATGGTATCTAAAGAAGTAAACCTGGAGTGTAATAATTCCATTATTACATGGACCAGGACAGGAGTTTTCATTAAAATATGATTATTTTTGTTGAATTTTAAAAAAACTAATAACTAATTTCTTCCTTTTGAAAAATGTCTACCTTCAAATGCTGAAAATGTTAATATATTGAACCCCATTCTTCGTTATTAAAATATTAAAAAAGCCAATAGAGTTTATTTGACCTATGCCCCTTCTTTGAAAGTAAGTGCTACACGAAATAATAATAATAATAATAATTGTAATTCCCATCGTCCTCTCTTATTGCAGTATATCTTTAGTAGTGGCATAACAAATCTGGCCCATTTTGTCGTTGAACCTCAAGTGACCCTAGGGAATATTTATGGTCACTGAACAAAAGAAATTTGACACCAAAAGAGTTTTAAAAATGTTATGGATCCACCTGGAAAAACCTGCAAAATCGTTAATTAATGTTGTTTTATTTTGAACAAAATAAATATTACCAGGTTAAAGAAATAATTAATTACAGACAGTGACACTAAAACCTAGTAGATATTCTATTCTTTAAGGTTTCTCACTGGACATTCTGACATCAGTTGGCTTCATGATTTTCATACTAACAACTTCAATAATGCTGCCTCAACCCTCTTACAAGCTGCCAGTAATGAGACTGATCTTCTGGAAAGGTTAGTGATTTCATTGAAGATGTATTATTCAGGAAAAGATGTTTTGAATCAATTCCAGAAATACTATATTAATTTTTTGTTAATTTAAAATAGGCCAAGCATATTATCAATTTCGAAAAATGTTTAAAATTAGTCTGATTTTTGAAAATTCAGTTCTCAGAGATTTTTGTTGCTATCATGTAAGATATGATCAAAATATCCTTATTTTTGTAGTTTTGAAAATTGTAACTTTCCTTACTTTTAATCTTTAAAATATTCTTTTAATACAGATAAATGAAAATTCATATGCTACAGGAAAAAGGTTGAGCTTTCCCTCGCCAAGCTTGCTGCATTAGCTGGGGAGGAGGACTTTGAAGACGTTTTTCCTCAGATAGAACAGGAGGTCATGCTGGTTAAGTCACAGGTAGGACAGAAGTTAATGCTGGTAAATTTTATAGGAATCACAGGGTGTCATGTTGATTAATTCAAGGTAGGACAGGAGTTCATGCTGGTCAATTTTATAGGTATTAAAGGGTGTCATGCTGGTTAATTCACAGGTAGGACAGGAGTTCATGCTGGGCAATTTTATAGGTATTACAGTGTGTCATGCTGGTTAATTCACAGGTAGGACAGGAGTTCATGCTGGCCAATTTTATAGGAATTACAGGGTGTCATGCTGGTCGACGTACAAGCAACACCGGAGTTCATGCTGGTCAAATTTATAGGTTTTAAAGGGTGTCATGCTGGTTAATTCACAGGTAGGCCAGGACTTCATGATGGTCAATTTACAGGCAGGACAGCAGGTCATGCTTGTCAATTCACAGGTATTTAAAGGCGGTCTTGCTGGTTAATCTGCAGGAGGTCATGCTGATTGCTAGTCATCTTATATATATATAGGACGGGAGGCCATGCTGGCCAACTCACAGGTAGGATAGGATGCCATGTTGGTAAACTCACAGATAGAATAGGAGGCTATGCTGTTCAACTCACGGATAGAATAGTAGGCCAAGCTGGTCAGCTCACAGGTAGGATAGGAGGCCATGCTGGCCAACTCACAGATAGTTTAGGAGGCCATGCTGTTCAACTCACAAGTAGGATAGTAGGCCATGCTGGTCAATTCACAGATAGTATAGGAGGCCATGCTGTTCAACTCACAGATAGAATAGTAGGCCATGTTGGTCACCTCACAGGTAGGATAGGAGGCCATGCTGGTAAACTCACAGATAGAATAGGGGGCCATGCTGGTCAACTTGCAGATAGAATAGAAGGCCATGCTGGTCACCTCACCGGTAGGATAGGAGGCCATGCTGGTTAATTCATAGATAGTGTAGTAGGCGATGCTGGGCAACTCACAGATAGCATAGGAGGCCATGCTGTTTTGGCATTTTTGGCAAATGCGAGTTGCGAGATCTGAGAATTTTCTTCTTTAAAATGTATTTTAGCAATACATTTTTTTAAAACTATTTAAAAGATAAAAATAAAAAAAATTGCCACTTGGCTCCGGATTTGCTAATTCCCCCTTAAGTACATATTTTTGAGGATTTAACAGCTCAAGTCTCTTTTAAAGAATATTTTTTTATATATAGTCTTCAAGTACATCTGATATGTAAATAAAATTGTTTAAAACTATTTTAACATTCTAGGAACAGCTTCCTGTTAGTGTAATTGAGCAGTTTGGTCTGGATCATAATAATATGAGAGTACTTACTCCAAGGTAAGTAAGTTAAAAACATATTCCGATTAAATTCATAATCTTATCATTATCACATCTTATCAAATCATATCATGACATAATAGTAAACGCGCGTAATCCGTATACCCGGAAGGGAAACTCAATCCACCAGCATTTAATTAATACTAGAAATAGTCTGTTTGGTAATACGCTGGTGGAAGGAGTTAATCCGGAATCATGACTCAAACTTGGTCGTGATACCCGACGTTAGGCCTAAACTATGTCAGGCAGAAAAGCCTTGATCTATGCGGGATCGTGATGGCGTACCCCATTTAGATTGAGGAGCCCACGGGACTTTCCTAGCTTCTTGAATTGAATTGAATTGAATTGAACATCAAATACAAAAACCTGATTGACAACAAATGATATTTGCTAAGTTTTTATAGCCTTATATTTCAGTATTAATTAGTATTTAGGTTTTATTATTGTTTTATTTTTGTTCTTGATCGGGATCCATTGGAACAACAATTTTTTTGCGTCTTGGATCCGAAACCGCAAAACTAACCTGTTGAACAAGACCAACACAAACCTTAATTTTGACTAATGAAAAACTTAATATTTTCTGAAAGGTTCAAGTTCTAGCATAAAATAGCCCCAAAAAAGAAGTAGAAAAATTTAAATTTTTTTTTTAAAATTCAATCTTGAAGAAATGCCTGCAGCCTGGATCTATTCTTTTTTCAGGGCGGATCCAGGATCGTAATCAAAACATAATGGATCCTGATCACTTGTTATTTTATTGTTTTTGTTATTATTACATGCAGTGCTTAAGATCCGAATCCGTTGGATCCGCAATATTTTGGCTTCCTGGATCCGGATCCAAGGGGCAAAATATTAACGAAAAACTGCAAACAAAAATATTTTTAACTTAAATCCCAAATCTGAACTGTTGAAAAAAAGAGAGATTATAAAAAATTTCTTCATCACTGAATGGTTCAAGTCCTAGCATAAAAATAAGCCCAAAAAATGAAGTAGAAAAAATTGAAAATTCTTTAATTGTTTAAAGATTCAGTAAATTTTGGAAGAAATGTCCATGGACAGGATCCATTTTATCATGGCGACTCTAGGATCCGGATCAAAATGAAAATAAATGTTATTGTTTCTGTTTTAAACAAACGCAAACAGACAGGGTAAGTGGGCAGAAGTTCAACACTGGAGCTCGACGTAACATTCCTCAATAACCTACAGAACATGCTACTTTGACTGTTATAGGTTAAACCATAATAATAATAATAATAATATTGCATGTGTAGGGAAATGATTGAGATGTATATTGGTGAGGAGAATAGATCAGCTGATTCCTTGGAGTTTATTAAGGCTTTGGACCTTCTTAACTACGTTCAGTTAGATCAGGTACAGTGCAGTACACTGTACAGAGAACAGTGTACTGTATGCAGTGTAAGTTCTACAAAGTGTAGTGTAGTGTAGTGCAGTGCAGTGCAGTGCAGTGCAGTGCAGTGCAGTGCAGTGCAGTGCAGTGCAGTGCAGTGCAGTGCAGTGCAGCGCAGTGCCGTGCAGTGCAGTGCAGTGCAGTGCAGTGCAGTGTGGTGTACTGTAGTGTAGTGTACGGTAAAAGTGTACTTTATGCTATGTAAACTGTATGATATACACTGTACAATTAACATTTTATATTGTATAGTACACTTTGAACATTGTAAAATTTACATAATACAAATACTGCAAAGAGAGAGTTTTTATTACCCCCGGTTACCCATGGGTTTCCTCAAAAAATTCAGCCAAATTTCGGTCTAGCTTTATTATATAGATTTTCACAATTACCTTTTAACAAACAATTTCTGTTTTTATACTGTACGACACGCATTACGCAATACACTTAATTTCCGTCGAGGTGTCGGTTTTCCCCTGAGCTCGGAATCTCCTGATCATCGCCACGATGCCTCCCCTCCCTCGTTGAGCGTGCGTATTTGACCTTATACTACTACTGTATGGAGATATTGTTTTATACTAGATCAAAAAGAACTTCTAGCAGTGGCTTCTAGAGAGCCATCTGCTGGACGAAATTTGTGTTACTTTTGGCTGATTAAGCTATATGTGATTCCTGGAAGTAGGAATTTAATTTAATTTCTACCAGAACTCGGCAACCGACCTTTTTCTCTGTAGATTCAAATCGCCGCCAAATTGCCGCTGAATTTTTGAATTACTGGGTTAGAATGGGCCCCAAGGAGAGTCTGAAGGGGAAAAGAAAGGGGGGGGGGTTAAAGGGAAGTTGAGTGGGGGGGGGAAAGGAGGAAGGAAGGGGGAAGGGGTATTTTAGAGTAAGTGTAAAAGGTAATATAATTAAAGATGTAAGCTTATAACTGAGAAAGTACTAGTGGACAATAGAAGTGTCATAAATGCTATAAATTTAATTATCTCCTACGTCATAAATTCCATAAATGCCAAAACAAAAGGCATTTACTAATATTATCCTTTATGAAGTTAAAATTTCTTTGTTCAATTAGGTTACATGGTCGAGCACTGTGAACATATGACGATATTTATAGGATTAATTAACTTTATTTAGAAGAAAATCTTTTAATTATGAACGTCAATATTTTAGTATAAATCTGAAGATCGGCGTTTTTCAATGACAATAGAATAAATGAAAAGATCATTAATACTAAATCTAGGATAGTTTAAACGATTAAAGATTTCCAATGATACTAAACTAGGAAAACTCTAAAGATCAATGATACTAAATAAAGAATAACTTTAGAGATCAATGATTTCCAATAATATTAAAGTAGGAAAACTCTAAAGATCAATGATACTAAATCTAGGATAACTCCAATGATCAATAATTTCCTATAATACTAAATCAAGGATAACTCAAACGATCCATGATTTCTAATAATACTAAACCAAGTTAATTACAAAGATCGATTATTTCCAATGATACTAAATTAAGGATAACTAGCTAAAGATCGACATTTTCCAATGATACTATATCCAGGATGAGAAGGAGAGGGTACGCCTACATATCTGGTGTCAATCTATCCTACGCAACTCCTGGTCCGACATTGATACTGACAATCCTATAGAAAGTGTCAAGGTTTGTTAACTTTTCCGATTTTAATTTTTATTCTTTTTGTCATGTTCCTTCATGTTCGGCTGATTTTGGACTTTTTCTAATTAAAAGTTAATTTAATCCTCAAAGAGATTTTCAGAATGCACGCACCCCAATTTTTTTTGTGATTTGTTTTTATCTCTTAAATCTTTGAAATTTAAATTTAAAAATTGAACTTTTCATTTTTATGAGACGGTTTGTTCATTTTAAATTTTTCTTTATTTTTAACTTTATCATAAGTTAAACATTTAGTTGAATATATACCCACAAAATATTTTTCAAAATTTTCAGTCCAATTTAAAAATCATTTAATCCACACTTTGTCAGTAGTTTGTTTTTATCCCCTAAATCTTTAAAATGGAATTTTAAAAGTTATCATTTATATTTTTTAGGAGACCGTTTTCTTCAAGATTGTTGAGTATGCTTTCCACCAGGTTTGTTATATTTTTTATTTCGTTTTTTTTTTCAATAAAAATGGAACTCCTTTGTCTTATCTCTTTAAGCGTATGTGTCCTTCAGAATGAACTCTCCCTTTAATATTATCTGTTAAGGGAACTCTCCCTTTAATATTATCTGTTTAGAGAACTCTCCCTTTAATATTATCGGTTTAGAGAACTCTCCCTTTAATATTATCTGTTTAGAGAACTCTCCATTTAATGTTATCTGTTAAGGGAACTCTCCCTTTAATATTATCTGTTTAGGGAACTCTCCCTTTAATATTAACTGTATTGGGAACTCTTACTTTAAATTTTTCTGTTTAGAGAACTCTCCCTTTAATATTATCTGTTTAGTGACCTCTCCCTTTAATATTATCTGTATTGGGAACTCTTACTTTAATTTTATATGTTCAGGGAACTCTCCCTTTAATATTATCTGTTAAGGGAACTCTCCCTTTAATATTATCTGTTTAGGGTCTGGATTTATCTTCCTTCCTAACAACCCCGGAGATAATTCTGGAACAGGTTTATTTATATCAATATTTATTTTTATTTGTTTTTTCTTGTTGTTCTGTTTTGTGTTTCTTTTCCCTGGATGTGTGCTGTTAAACGCGTTAAATTACGCATTTGAAATTTGTTTATTTTTCCATTTTTTAAAATTAAATTTAGGATTATTTACATCTTTTTTGTGTTAGTTATTAAAAGAAAAATTCTTTAAAAATTAGGATTTTTAAGTTTTCTGCTTTTTCTAAGAAATCAGAACTGTATTGTATTATACTATACTGTATTTCACTGTAATATTGTACTTTACTTTACTGCACTGTACTTTAGTGTACTGTACTGTACTGTACTGTACTGTACTGTACTGTACTGTACTGTACTGTACTGTACTGTACTGTACTGTATTGTACTATATCCCGTTTACAATATTATAATAAACAGTTAATTACAATTATTTTAATTAATTAACATTAATATTAATTAACAGTAAATCACAATTATTTTAATTATAATTATTATCAGGCGGAGCTGGGTAACCTCAGACATGAGAAGAATTTCCAGTATCTCTTAAAGACAGGTGAGGTTTTATTAGTTTGGGGCTTCTTGGTGAATTCGATTTTTGGACATTAAAGGGATTGTAAACGTATATTTTAGACATTAAAGGGATTGTAAACGTATATTTTAGACATTAAAGGGATTGTAAACGTATATTTTAGACTTTAAAGGGATTGTAAACGTATATTTTATGCATTAAAGGGATTGTAAACGTATATTTTAGTCATTAAAGGGATTGTAAACGTATATTTTTAGACATTAAAGGGATTGTAAACGTATATTTTTAGACATTAAATGGAATGTAAACTTATGTTTTAGACATTAAAGAGATTGTAAACGTATATTTTAGAAATTAAAGGGATTGTAAACGTATATTTTAGACATCAAAGGTATTGTAAACGTATATTTTAGACATTAAAGGGATTGTAAACGTATATTTTTATACATTAAAGGGATTGTAAACGTATATTTTAGACATTAAAGGGATTGTAAACGTATATTTT